TTTGAGCAACTGAGGAAAACCTCCGACGTGTGTGTTGTCTCGATCTTTCTGGCCACCCGGGATGTCCAGAAGATGCCATGCGGGAAATGGGCCGTAACTTCGATTGAGGTGCTACTGGACTGCTCGTTTTCCAATTGGTTCGCGGGCAGCTTCGTGTTTCCAGCGATTTCACCTTGTACCGGGTCATGCTTCTTTTGTAGATTGAGCTTCACTGAGGGATTTCTTGAACCTACCCCATGCTCTTCCAACCACCTGGCTGGAACAAGGTTCTCTGCCAGGACACTCTCAGAACCGGTCGGGAGGGCCGGGCGTGCGAGCGCCCACAAACCACATGGTGCAGTGCCAAAATTCGGGAGACGAGACAAGGACACCATCCACGTCTATGGGTGCCCTATCTCAAAAATCAGGACACGTCCGGGCCCTGCAACACAAGCCGGACGCCTTCTTGCCGATGGCGCGCTCCAGGCATTCGATCATATACGTGACAGTCACTGGATCCTGGACCGTGGTCACGCCCACTTGCAGGACCAGGGAAGCAAACCCTTCCCCTTCCCGGTGGATCCATTTGCCTGGGTTTGTAGGGAACCACGGGAACAACACGTCAAACAATATTGCAGGGAGGGGAACAACCAGGGAACAACCAGGGGAACAACCAAACAACCAGGGGAACAACCAGGGGAACCAAAAGGAAAAAAAGCTGGCAAACTACTTTCTAGGTAACTGGGATCCACTGGGCCTTTAAAGTGCTGCCAATGAGTATATCCGTGGATGCTTCAAATTCGCAGGGGCCTTCGGGAGTCTCAGGAACCTTCCACTACCCGCTCGCCGGGCGCACAAACCGTCAAAATCGCAACCAGCCGAGCACGGATTGATACGGAGTTGCTCAAGGCATCTTTCTGGGTTTGTCAGTTCAAAGGCTAAAAGCAAAAAAATAGAATCACAATTGACAATTCAAATTTACAACGGCAAAAAGAGGCATGCTGAAAGTACCCTCTAAAAGGCTGTCAAGAGCTTAGTCGTGGTTGAGCGTTGAGCGAGGTTGAGCGAAGAAACAAACGGAGTAAAAGTAGAAGGAGAGGTCTTGTTTGAGTTTGGCCTGGACATATACATGTACATTTATATAACGAACATGTAATAATGCATGCAGATATAACGTATGTATTCATGGGGTGGGTGAATTAGTTGAAGGAGCGAGTTAAACAGTTCCTTGTTGCAGTTGACCCATAGTTGATCAATGTTCCTGTTTCAGGAAACGCCATCCTGCCGTGGCAGGCCTGCAGCAGCGCTAAATGAAAACAGGCACTGTCTAGGTCCTCCAGTAGAGAGGTAGAATCAGGGTACCCTCTTTTCTGTTGTCTATTTTAGTCATGGAACCCTTCCCAACCAAAAGGTAAAAGGGCACTACTTGGAAACCTAGCTGTCATTTGGTCTTGCCACTTGACGGGCCCAACGTGCGAAACCTTGCAACAAGCTCCACGGGCTTTCGCCGGTCTGGCGGGGATCTTTCGCGACGCTTGCTCCAAAATAGACACGCAGCACAGGCAGGGATGCAAGTAAAGGTGCTGCACATCTCCGTGTGTACAAACAAAGAAGGTGAGGTCTGCAAATATGTTGGCGCAAAGGCACTCCTCCACGTACCCAACGCGAACCTTTCGCGCAACAAAAACACCTCGCTTTCGCAAACTCCGTTGCCGAACTTTCGCGGACTGACTAAAGAAACCACCACGAATGGTCACGGAACCTCCTTGCAAGGACCCAAGCCCTGGTAGGTTTGGCCGCAGCTCTGGGCATGTCAGCGGGGCGGACCTGCAAACCTCAGCCAAGGTTGGCCCCCACGACAGGGCCAACCACAAGAACTAAACCCAGGTCCGAAATCTGCTCAAACCCAGAACCCATTTCTCAGGCTCCCTTGGAAGTTGAAGTGTGCAAGGTCCTTATTGCCAAGGTTGTAGACCTTGTAGTGCGCCGCGCCCTTGGTGGACTCTGGGATCTTGTCCACCTTGGAATGCGAGGATCTTCACCGGAACAAGGATAGGTCAAGCACCTGCTGTTGGAATCGTTGGCGCCTGCTTCCAGACAAGTTAAACATGAAACCCATCTGCGCAGGTGGGAAAAATCAACTAGACCCCACATGAGTCGCTCATGTTCAAGATGCGCTTGATGTACCCACCGACAAACATGGAAGTGCACACGCGCATTCCTGGCCTAGATGCCCTTTCGCAGGCGTGACTGTCTATCTATGGATTCAAGCGCGTGGTTCCCTGCCTGGGGTCGGCAAATCAAGGTCTAAATGCGGGTGTGCCTCACAAATGGGTACCTGAAAGTCCTGTTTTTGTTTCCCCTTTCCTTTACTTCGAGCAGCCCCAAAACAACACCCTCAAAAAGACACACACACACACACACCGACCGCAGTCAGCACCATCGACCCTGCTCTGACTTTTGCTGAAGGGCGCAATGGCCTTCTCAGCATCACATTGCCTAGAGTTAAAAGCACTTCAAAAGCATTCCCGCCACTATTATTGGCGATAAAATATGTTTCTTGCCCGGTACTGGAAAACAAAGGGACCCCCCCAAAAAGAAAATAGAAAGGGGAACTAATTCTGGGGAAGAAACCTTGATGTCTCCCTACCCCATGGCCAGAACTCCTAGCGTGGGCAACGAGAACCCAATATATAAACGCCTGGTTCAATCGGAGCGGAGCCGCGTTTCAAAGAGGATCCTTCACCAGAATTCACACGACTGGTGTATAAGTCCGGGGTCAACAGCTGGGCGAAAGTAGATGGTAAATTGAGTCGTACCCTGCGCTTATCTCGAAAGAAGGAATTGGTGCCATCTACTCTCACCCTGGGTGTACTCAGTTGCCCAAAGGACCTGGAACTAAAAGGTTACCCTTTTGGGGCCATGACCAAAAAAGCTCGGCTTTGGACCAGTGAGAATCGGCCGTCGGCCGTCTCTTGCGCACAGAAGTTCACAGGCCGGCACCGAGGCGACGCATCCAGTGACAATGTCGTCGATGAAGGTAAAGTCCCGCTCCAGCTCAGAGCCACCTCCAGGCGAGAAAGATGAGCAGCGCGGGCCAAGGCTACAAGATGGACCCGAACCGGAATTTCCCAAAAGGTGTGGGAAATAAAGAACTGAATGTGTCTAATGGAACAAAATGCTGTGCGTGGTGCTATCCCATGCCAATCACAAAATACAGAAAGAAACTTATATATATATATATTATGTAATCTATTATACGTATAATAAATACAAAGCCATGCTTTGCTAATGCCCTGCCGGTTTTCCTCCAAGCACCACCGATGCTTTTTCCAGGTGACATCTCTCCGCACTCCAACTTCACGCCGGTGGAAAGATGCCATCGCGCAACTCAAGCAGCTTTGCGCATCTCGGGTTTCAACAGTATCAGAAAGATTCGGTTGTAAACGGGGGGGGGTCCGAAAAAGAATGAAACAGCCCATATGGTGTTTTTGTTCCTGCAAGCGCCCGTGCAGTGACTTAGCGATTTAGCACCCACAACTCTTGCAGCGTGTGAACGGCACAGCAGGCGAGTGTAAGAATTCGGGCCCCAATTTTGGACCCCGCCGCCGCCGATTTAGCTTCCCCTTTCAAGCGTAGACCGCATGCCCCAAGGACATGTAGTTCCCTTTGGACCCCTCGAATGAGGACCATGCCCAATGCACCACTTAGGACAGACCTCACACGGGCAACCCCAAAGCATGCATGCATCTGTGGGCGCCCAAAACAAGAGCTCAGGTTCCCCGGCTACCGTCTGCGTGTGGTCCACCAATTCCATTTATCTAGAAGACCTACAGCGCCCGAAATCCCCCCCAATTCTAGAAAACGGCTTCGATGTGGCGTGTGATGCACCCCTGTAGGATATTAACAAGTGCTAAAATAATACTGAAAGAGTACTAAAGAAGCTACACAGGGAAGAACAAGTAAAATGCTACAGAAATAGCAAATCCAAACCGTTTTCTAGACCAATCCATTTATCTGGCACTCCCCATAAGAGGGGAAAAATGGAGATCTCCAGGGGTCGGAATCCCCAACTTCATGACTAAAGGGGTGGAGATGTCCTCAACTCCGTCCGGCCTGGCCCTTGGAAGATCTTCAAAGCCTCGCCTCAGACTTCACGCGCGAGATCGAAGTCGCGCCTGTACTAGACTCAGTGGACCCTACCCAGTTGCTTCTGCCCAATGAAGCGCGTCTTAGATTCAGGTCCAAAAAATAGTGAACCTCGAAATTAAAACTAAGTGGAGCTCTTTGGGAAACTTTTCAACCCTTGGGTATGATGGTGGCGCAAAACTTTTTTGTTTTTGCAGACTCCTACTTTTGACGTGAAGGAGGTCCCAGCTTCGTTGCAGGGGCAAACGCTACTCCGCGTTCCCCATTTTGAGGCACTAGACTTTGAGGTTGCTTCAAAGCCTGGGCTCCCACTGTCCATGTCCAATGGCAGTCCCCAAACACATAGCCTGGCAGTCCTCAAAACACGGGCCATTTACACCAAACGCTTTAAACACGCACACCCTAAGTCGCTAAGGTCCTAAGGTTCACCCCAATCTCAGGGGCTGCGCGCGGGGGCAGGGCGGGCGACCCCCCCGCCTTTGTGTATCTTGATGGTGGCCGAGAATGCGAACATGTCCTTGGTGCAGTTGGCAAAAGGCACTCGCAGCTACCAAGGGCTTCAATTACACGAGCGAAACCCAAAAAAAAGTGGATGCGAGCGAATTAAATTAAGTCGCTGGCTTTGGCGTATCAAGTGCCAAGTGCTTCACATTGAGGAGTTGGCCTTTTCAGCCTCACTTTGGCACTTGGCCAAGTGAATGTTCAACCTGCTGGGGCTCAAAATGGCCCGTGTTGAGTATGAACCTGGGGATTCCCAACCATAGGAGACAAGAAAGGAAGTGCTGAGAACCAGGATGTCAAAGCCCATCGGAGCATACGACGCAAAAAAAGGCACACTAGGTGGCTAACCAACAGCCATCCCCAATGGTGTTAGCTTCTTTCTGCACTCTGTGTTCATCCTCGTGACTATGGAAACATATTGAACTCTGCCACATCAATGAATGACGTAAACCACCTCGCAAAGGATCCACGCAGAATCAATTGAGGCGGGCTAGTCTTCCGGCGCCCTTGGGCCAAGATTGGCATCGCTGCACTTTTGTTGGCCAGTGGAGGCATAATAAAAATGTGAGCAGTGGCAACGTAAGACCAACTGGCCGCGGGTCAAAAGTAGGTTCCCGAATTGGCTTGCCCTAGTAAATGGAAACTACTGAAACCTGCGGTTCATGCCGAAACCCGACTAACTGAGGCAGAATCTTAACCTGGGTAGGTGAAGGTCAGTAAGGGATCGTCCAATCCAAACGATGGGTGCAACCAATGGCTGGCGAGAGTCAGGCCGACCCCACGGCCCATAGACGGTGAAGAAGCGAAGCCCCGTGAGGGACAAGCCGTAGATGTGGTGATAGGTATGCCTTGCACCCGTGTCGACCGTGGCGAGGGCGCTGGCAACATGACGGGCGCTGGGGCTTACGAAGGGGTTGCCTTCAAAGGGTGTTCCACCAGACACGTGGAATCTGGAACATAGCCCTTAAGGAGAACTCAAAAAAACATAGCCCTCAAGGGTAAATAAGCTCTAAACAAGGGAGTGGGCAGGGAGTTGGGGGGGAGGTGGGGGGCGAGTTGGGGGGCTTAACTGTCATATTTCTTGGGGTTTGGTCTGGGGGTGTGGGAAGTCTGTGGAACCCACGGCTCTTACGGAAAACGAAAGGCTCTCTTAAGAGCTCAACGGTACTTTTAGGTTGGTTGGTTGGGTCCTTCAGGAATGAATCGAAAGCCTCGCTCTTTTACTAATTTACCCATCCGCGCAGATCGATCTGCGCATGCCCCGGAAACCTGGTGCAAGGTTGATTGAACCGAGCTAAACAGGTTCCCCGCCACAGGGGTCACTTTAGCAGCTCCCTGGATCATTGAAACAATGGTCAGCCCGGTTCCTACTCAAGGAAAGCAAGTCGCGCGAGCTTTGTTCTATTTTTTTTTCACTCAGCGTGTGCTGCCCCTGTCGCAACAAAATGATTTGAAGCCCGTGTCAGCGGACACTGTTGTTTCAGTACCATGCTTCCACTTGCCTAAGTGCCCTGGACAAACTGAGAGCATATTTCCAGTGCCGAAATCAATTCCCTTTAAAACCAACAGGGGAAAATCTCAAACATATTCATTGCAACAAATGGAAGCGAGTCATGCCACTGGACCAAATCAACTGGACCAACACTTGCTGGTGCTGGCATGACCGTTCCGGGTGTTGGGAATGACCTGTTTAGGGGATTCCTGGAAAATACAATCCACAGGACATGGATGTTTTTCCCTCGGGGCCAGACTCCATGTCTCATTCCCGTGGAAATGCCTCTCTCGCACCAACCAAAACAGGACACCCCACCATGTCTAGACCACGATCGCAAGAAAAATAAAAAGAAACACCAGCATAGACCCCAAATAGCATAAAACAGGTCAGGGATTGCCCACCGCTCCTTTGTTAGAAGCCAGAACCCCCACAGCTTGCAGCTATCTGGGGAACAAAACCCTAGACGAAACCCTAGAAACCCTAGAAATCTTAGAACAAACCCTAGAAACCATAGAAGAAACCCCAGAAACCCTAGAAGAAACCCTAGAAGAAACCCTAGAAACAGTAGAAATGATGCGACACACCCTGGAAGAGCCCCTCCGCCAGTCCCGCCCGCCACTCCTAGTCCGAGGCGCGCAATCATCTCGTTGGCCTTCTTCGTGGCAGCGTAGAGGCTGGCAGGCCTGTCCACCTTTGACGGCATCCCACGGCTGGAGCCGATTCCCAGCCCCCGATTTTCCTCTTCAATGGACCTGTGATTTGTTGGGGCTGGAATCTGGAAGCCCAGCCAAAAAAAGAACTGGAGTGAGTTTTGGTCGGAAAATGTCGAGGAGTCGTGCCAAAATTATCCACTGGGCAACTGCCACCTGACTCACTGACCAGTGCAAAATCCCGAGTACGGTCCTTCTGGCAATCGCCACAATGAAAATAGCATGGCACCAACTTACAAGCGTATCTCAACTTTCCTCTAACTGGGACCAAATCCAATCCAACCAGCAATTAGGGGCAACCTGCATGTTGCATTCTTCCCTCTCGCATTTTCTCACACACATATATGTATATATATATAAATATATATATATATGTATATATAAACATAAATATATATATATATATACATATATTCAGGTAGTTACCTGTGTCATCCGCCGCGCCTGGTGCTCCTCGGAGAAGGGGCTCACCGTGTTGAGCCCATAGACCGAGCTAGAAGAGGCGTAGACCACCCGAGGCCTTCGATGCGAACCAAATGGAGCGCTCCATCGGAAACGTCCCCTGGAAAAAATGAGCCAATCGTTTCTTTTCTTTTTTCTCCGGTGAAATCGACTCCTAGGTCCTCCAGTTTTTTTCGAGAGGTTGGAATCAGGGTACCAACTTGTTTTTTCTTCTGTAGTGTTTTTTTAGTAGGGGAACCGAATCTCCCAACCAAAAAAGGTGAGAAAGGGCACCTAGCTGGGGGACCTAGACTCCCTTGAAAACCAACGGGGTTTGGAAAATAACAGTCAATTTTTTATTTCAGCAAATGGAAGGCTCAACATCTACGGTTGCCCTGACAGCACCTCGGGGACAGACAATAGAGATTTCCAGTGATGATAGATTCCCGCGGAAAAACACAAAAAAACAAGAGGGAAAAGTAACAGGTATCCCTAAGCAAATGGAAGAAATATCAAGGTTTGGTGAGAAAATTCGGGAGCCCCATGTCCCTCAAGTGCCACACACTAAATTGTGGTTTTCACCTATCAGAGATGATTTCCTTTGGCTTCCCTTTAGGCCATCACAAAAAGACACATCTGGGATTTTGGGTAAAGTAGTACACCCTGTTTCTAGGCGTCCCCTCTTCAGCCATGCCTTGGGACATGGCCTCAACTTCGCCTTTGGCACGGCCAAAGTGTCTCTCACTTCCCTTGGTGCTTGACCAAGACTCTGTCCCAGGGCTGTGGGAAATGGAATCCACTTCTGTGATACAACAAAAGGGTCTCCAGACTACCACCCCCATTTAGACAGGAGATTCCCAACAGTATCACAGAAGTGGTTGGATAAACCCCATGATCCCACAACCCTGCTCTGTCCAAACTGATCTTTTGCTAAAAGTTGTGTTCCCACTTCTGGCTTAAAACAAATCGAAGATCCGACCATCTAAAGCAACCAAAACGGGGGGGGAAAAAACAAACAACAAAGTTGAACCGAAGGATTCGCTGGGAACCACCCAGGTTTTCATTAAACAAATCCACATCTAGGCCCTCCAGTAGAGAGGTTAGAATAAGGCTAGCCTTTTTTTTTCTGTAGTATATTTTCGTGGGGGAACCGAATCTCCCAACCAACAAAGGGGTGAGAGGTCGGGCACCATTCGCTGGGGAACCTAGGAGTGACAGGTGAGCCTCCTGAAAAAGCACAGTAGTTCCCCTTTGATTCGCTGGGAACCACCCAGGTCTCGGAAAAAACAAATATATATTTAAAAACAAAAAACTGAAGAGGAACAAATAAAATAAAATAAAAAATAACGGACACTCAGCCCACTTTGCTGGACCATGAGCCGCCGGTCATTTCTTTTGGCCCTGGGGCCTCGGGCATCGGCTCACCTCGGCCAGCAAATCGGTGGATGACAAAAAACCTGTGTGGATGGATATGTTTATTGTGTGTGTGTGTTGTTTTTGTCCCGATTTTTTTTTTATTACATACTAATACGTTTGTTTTTTTCTTTTTACGTTTTTTTTTTTTTTTTTTTTTTAATTGTGTTGCTTCTTAAAGTTTTATTGTCTTTTTGTTTGTTTTGCAGCACTGACTTAAAAAATCAGACCTAAAGTTCGGGCGAAACCATTCAATGGGTGGTTGAGATCCATGTCGAAACCGCCGTTCGGAAACCCAAGGGCATGTTTCGATTGTCCGACATAAATGCCCAGGCATGCTCGTGGCAGGTTTCAATCAGGGAGTGAACATATTTCTGTGACATCACTCGAAGAAAACCTACTGGGACGGCTGTGAACCCATATCTTGGCTACACGCTTGGGTCATTTCTCATGCGTCGAGGGAATTCACTTGCTGGCCCCTGGGGCGAAAAACAAAATCCATTCCACTGAGTGCTTTTGTCTTTTTGGCAGACGACTCTGCCAGGCTTTAGGCGGTGCTGCTAAGGGAATGCTTCAGAAAGGACCCAGAAATAAAACTAGGTGCCCCAGCGACTGGTGCCTTTCTCACCCTTTTTTGGTTGGGAGATTCGGTTCCCCTACTAAATACAGAAAACAGTTGGTACCAACTTATTCTAATCTCTCAAATCTGGAGGCTGGAGGACCTTTGAGATCGCCTGTTTGGGGCCACTGAAGATGCACCAAACTGGCACAGCCGAAAGGTTAGAACCGCTGAAAGGGTCGATTCGCTTTGCCTCAAGTGAGAAGCCATGCAAAGATTTCGCCATCGTCCAAACAAGAGACACGATCCAAGGCCTGAGTTGCTGGTTCTCAGCGGGGAATGAAGGAATATCCCCTATAGGAAGGAAGAAAGACCCCATCTGGTGTCTTGCCGAAGAACGTCGCCCAGTGACCCTGGTAGAGACACAGCTGACATAGGTGTGCTTTTGGGGGACATAGATGGCCCTGGTAGATGAGTAAACCACCTGATAAACCAGGGCCATCTAGTCTTTTGCATCTATTCTTTTGCAAAAACCACCAAAAAGCACACACATGGTGTCTTGCCGAAAAGAATCGTCGCCCAGTCATGGTGGAAACAGAGCTGAGGTGATCAACCTTGTCCAAGGGGCAAAAGCGGCAAGCCTCCAGGAGCTGCACGAAGCCCGCCACGTTGGACGAGACGTAGGAGGCCGGGTCCTCCATGCAGGACGCGTGGACGCGTGGCTGGGGATGTTTACCCCTCGATTTTAAGAGAGTGCGAAGATACTGTGGATGGACAAAATCCTGCACCACCTTGAGACCATGGAAAATCATGGCTGGCTGGTGGTTGCAGGGGCGTCATCATTCCGGGGATCCTTTGGCGGCGCAGGATTTCGTCCATTCACAGTATTTTGCCAAAAAAGGACCGACAAGGAGACCCCTTGTTGCTCTCCTGCAAATGAAAAATAGGACCACGACAAAAACCAACATAACCTGCACACAAATCCTTTTGGGGAAACCCGTTTGGGTCATTGCAAGGGAGCAGAAAGGCAATTTAGGAGTCAAGCACCGATCAAGCGGTCTTCAACACTGCAATGACTCATACTGGATCCAACCAGGCGCTCCAGTAGAGAGGTTAGAATAAGGGTGCCAACTTTTGTCTGTAGTCTATTTAGTAGGGGAACCGAATCTCCCAACCAGAAAAGGGGTGAGAGGTCGGGCACGCACCTAGCTGGGGCACCTGGTCATGTAGCGTGACCCTCGGCAACAGTTCTGGGGGCTCCTTCGTGGCGTAGCGCACCCCGGCCTGGCGATGGCTCATCCCAAGTCAGAGGCCTTGATGTAGACCATTCAAGTGGGAAAACGCTTGGGACATACGTAATTCATGTATAGGCTTTTGCCAAAATGTGTAGACCATTCAAGTGGGAAAACGCTTGGGACATAAGTAATCCATGTCTAGGCTGTTGCCCAAATGTGTAGACCATTCAAGTGGGAAGACATAAGTAATTCATGTATAGGCTTTTTTGCCCAAATGTGTAGACCACCCAAGTGGGAAAACGCTTGGGACATAAGTAATTCATGTATAGGCTTTTGCCCAAATGTGTAGACCACCCAAGTGGGAAAACACTTGGGACATAAGTAATTCATGTCTAGGCTGTTGCCCAAATGTGTAGACCATTCAAGTGGGAAAACGCTTGGGACATAAGTAATTCATGTCTAGGCTGTTATGCCCATTTGTATAGACCATTCAAGTGGGAAAACGCTTGGGGCATAAGTAATAAATGTATAGGCTGTTGCCCAAATGTGTAGACCATTCAAGTGGGAAAACGCTTGGGACATAAGCAATTCATGTATAGGCTGTTGCCCAAATGTGTAGACCATTCAAGTGGGAAAACGCTTGGGACATAAGTAATTCATGTATAGGCTGTTGCCCAAATGTGTAGACCATTCAAGTGGGAAAACGCTTGGGACATAAGTAATTCATGTCTAGGCTGTTGCCCAAATGTGTAGACCATTCAAGTGGGAAAACGCTTGGGACATAAGTAATTCATGTCTAGGCTGTTGCCCAAATGTGTAGACCATTCAAGTGGGAAAACGCTTGGGACATAAGTAATTCATATATACGCTGTTGCCCAAATGTGTAGACCATTCAAGTGGGAAAACGCTTGGGACATAAGTAATTCATGTCTAGGCTGTTGCCCAAATGTGTAGACCATTCAAGTGGGAAACGCTTGGGACATAAGTAATTCATATATAGGCTGTTGCCCAAATGTGTAGACCATTCAAGTGGGAAAACGCTTGGGACATAAGTAATTCATGTATAGGCTGTTGCCCAAATGTGTAGACCATTCAAGTGGGAAAACGCTTGGGACATAAGATTCATGTCTAGGCGGTTGCCCAAATGTGTAGACCATTCAAGTGGGAAAACGCTTGGGACATAAGTAATTCATGTCTAGGCGGTTGCCCAAATGTGTAGACCATTCAAGTGGGAAAACGCTTGGGACATAAGTAATTCATATATAGGCTGTTGCCCAAATGTGTAGACCATTCAAGTGGGAAAACGCTTGGGACATAAGTAATTCATGTCTAGGCGGTTGCCCAAATGTGTAGACCATTCAAGTGGGAAAACGCTTGGGACATAAGTAATTCATATATAGGCTGTTGCCCAAATGTGTAGACCATTCAAGTGGGAAAACGCTTGGGACATAAGTAATTCATGTCTAGGCTGTTATGCCCCCAAATGCTAATAGCTGATGCGCAGTGACAGAACCGGAACCCCTGCGTAGCGGGCCACAGGAAAGCCACAAGTCCCGTGCACATCGCGCAACTGATGAAAAACATAGCTGACATAGGTGTCCTTTTAGGGGAAATAGATGGGTTTCCCTGGTAGATGAGAAAAACCACCAGGTAAACCAGGGATCGCCATCTATTTGTCTAGCAAAACAACCAAAAAGGACACCCATGATAGCTGCGAGTGGCCTAGGACTGGAAGAAGCAACGGTCCACGCAAATTGGACCAAGGGCTCAGGAACAGCAAGTGCCCGCCAGTTCAGCGAGTGTTCCTGACCAAGCCTTTGGAATTAAGGTTCAGCACGCTTTTGCTTGAGCATCATAGATCTGGAACCCGTACGCCTGGGCCCTGGTAGCCTGAAACTTTCCTGCAAACTTGAATTGCTGAGCCCTGTTCGTGGAACGTTGCACAAAACAGAACGCAAGTTGAAACTCATCAGATTCATTTGGTTCTCCCCATTGAGCCTTGGACCTTACAACCTGCTTGGGTTTTGTTGTCCAAGCCCAAGGGCTTTCCTACAGTCGCCTTTCGCCTTTCAGCCAGCCATGCGTACCTTTCCTACAGCCGCCTTAGCCAGCCCTAAGCCAGCCATGCGGGGGATGCCCTTGCGCCTGTGCTGCCAGCGCCAGGACGTGAGTGACCTTGTACTCCTGGCAACGCTCACAGAAAACTCTGCAGAAAGGCTGCTTGGCCTTGCGGTCCCGGGGGGGGGGGTTGCTGGACCCCCCAGGAACCGCAAGAACTGCGTGAGGTAGATCGGTTTGGCTTGCAGCCCCGAAAGAATGGAAATGCATGGTAGCCTAGAATGTTGGTCACCTTCTCACACTGCCCTTTGACCCACGTTACCCGAGCTCTCTGCTCTTTCCTCTGGAACCACCACCCTTCGCCTTTTATGTGCGCCGTGGCCTTACACTGCAGAAGGGCCAGCCCAAGCCGCCCCAGCCGCCCCAGGCGCTGAGCACAGGTCCTGCAAGATGTGGTCCAGCATACTCCTCACAGCCGGGAAGCAGATCTCACCCTTGAAAGGGGCAAACTTGGTTGACGTTGGGTTTGGGGAGCAAAAATGCTATAATGTTAGCAGTTAAGTGGGGATGCCCACCGTAAATCTTGGTAAACGTTGGAAGGGGAGCACAAAAATATATAAGTTCTATCAGTTAAGTGGTTGGATATCCCACAAATAAGTAAATTTTAGCCGTTAAGTGGTTGGACCTCCACCACAAAACCATAATAAGCAAAAATAAGCAAAAAACAATCCCAACAGCAACCATGAGATGGGCAAAACAGGTGATGTTGACACACCCCCAAACAGGGAAACAACTCGGGACCCCGGTTCAAGGCAGTCTGCGCTTCAAGACTCGAAGTGAACTTCTCCGAGATCTTCCGGGCTGTTGGGCTGCCCAGAGCACATGGCCACTGCTAGCTGGGCGCCAGGAACTTGAGGGGCCTCTGTTCACTGATCTCTGCCAGTTTTCAATCTCCCATACAGAAAGAACGGGCTAAGACACTTTCCAGGACTGGGTTTGGAGGGACGGAGGTCACCAGCTGTCTATGAGGCCCAAAACCTGGGGTCAAATGGACATGCCCTTGAAACATAAGCATCCACAAACCCCACCTATAGAATGCCCGGACACCCAGACTCACAAATGACACCTTCCATTGGCTCAGCCCAATGGAAAAAAATGGCAAATCTTTCCAGTAGTGACACCGATTCCCTTTAAAACCAACTTTCCAGCAGTGAAACCCATTCCGTTTAAAACCAACAAAAAAAACATATTCCTAAAAGACAAAGCATATATTTGCTGCAGAAACCTTTCGGTCACTGAAGAAACCTCACCCCCGGCGCCTGTCGTTCAGATCCGCCTGGAAGGTGTAGACGCCCGCCTTTTCGAGGGCCTGCGCCCGATCATACCTCGCACGACGAGTGGTGGTCGGTGGTGCCATTTGTGTGGGGGGGTTGGGGTTGGCCAGGGCCGTTTTGAGTGAACCCAGGTTGGTTCACGAGGATTAATTTTCCTCCCACCACCTAAGATGGAAGTGCAAAAAGGCCCTTTCCAAGAGGAAAGTAGTCGTTCTACAGGGGTCTGTGCACTTCCATGTTAGCTGGCGGGAGGGTGAATGAAACCTGGGATGACATGTGGGGAATCAGCTTGTGTGAAATGTGGGCTTAAATGAAACGTGTTCCAGTTTGTTTAGTGTCCCTGGGCGAAAGATAGGGAATCAAACCACTTTTGGAGGGGAACATCGGAACATCCCCACAGCAAACTGGGAACAGTTTTTGTGACAGCAAGGTGACTATCCCCATGCGACTTCTTTCGCTGAAACTAGAGCGTTCTGCTTCTTCCCGCAACGCGAAGCTCAGATGCCCAGTGGCCATGGCAAAAAAGGGCATCCTTTTTTGGAGGGTTGAGTTTAAACGGGAACCCTTACAGAAAAAGCAAGGAAAAAAGGACGGAAGGGTTCAATTCTCTTTACATACGGGATCTAAGTTCGCACAGCACTGCTCGCAATCCAAAGCCGGGCTGCCCGTTTTCGGATCCCCCGCTAAAAGTGAATAACTGTTGTTGGGTTAAATTCGGAAACCACCACCACACACTAGGCTAAAAGGCTAAGTTGACCCGGATGGCCTTCGGGAGCCAAGAAAGGTGATGCTCAAACAAGTCCTTCAGTCGTTCATTGGAAGCCTTCCGGCAGACAGGTTCCTTGTGGAGGGCTCTCTCACTTGCCCAAAGGACCTGCAAATAAAAGGTTAACCTTTTGGGACCTCTACCAAAAATAGACCAAAAAGGGAAAACCAGAAGGTTAAAAGGTCGGCTTTGAACAACTGAGCTCTTTGTCCAACAGACCGGCGAGTTCGCGCTCGCGACCGGCGAGCTCTCGTGGGGCGCTTGATGCCCACGGGATAGTAGGCGTTGAAGTTGTCCAAGCCAAGGACCTGGGGACCGGAGGGCAATGCCTTCCAGGTCCTCCAGATTTGAGAGGTTCGAATAAGTTGGTACCCACCTTTTTTCAGGAAGGTCTATTTTAGTAGGGGAACCCTCCCCCAAAAACAGGGTAAAGGGGCACTACTGGGGGACCTAGTTTTGCCCTTTTTCTCGGTTTTGTCTATTTTAGTAGGGGAACCGAATCTCCCAACCAAAAAAGGGGTGAGAAAGGGCTGCGGAGGGCAATGCCTTCCACTATGTCCCGATTCAGCACGCATGGTAGGTCCGGGAGGCCCTCTTTAGAGGCAAATTTGGAAATCCCCCTGCAACTAGATAAAGTAGAGGCAAGTTCTGCGACCCCGAAACGAGCTCTCCATGAGAGTTCTTGAACATTGAGGATCCCCTGCTTCAAAGTGTGGAATTCATCAGGACACATCTGTCGACAAAATCCCTCAGCAGACACACGCGCGCAAGCGCAGGTTCTAGAATCGAACAAATCCAGATACCCTTCCTCCCACGTTGCCATGGCACCTGGCAGTTGCTTGGAAGATCAATCTCCTGCAAGGGGCCCCCTGTTAGGTGCCATGTTAGTGAGTTGCTGCCACCTTGCTAAGTCCCCTGCCCCTCCCCCCCCACCCATCCCCCCACCCATCCCCCCACCCACCCCACCCCACCCCACCCCACCACCCCGGCCACCCCCCCCCACCCCCTACCCCCCCCCCCCTCCCCTCCATCCCCCTCCTCCCTCCGGCTGCAGGGGACCCGTTTTGGACGTCCAAGGCCCCAGCTCCATCCCCTCGCTTCTTGAAGGCGAGCGCGCCTGAGCCATGGAGCCGGAAACGCGCTCCACCAGCTGTCTCCCGGACTGATCCCATTTTTCGGCATGCGGGTCCAAAATCGGGTAGCCCCCAAATGGCTTGCCCTGGTACATGGAAACATGGGCAGGGAAACCTGCGGTCCATATCCTGGTGGTTTAATGTTGACCCATATCCAAATCTAGCTCGTGCTGCCAAAGAGGAATTTCAACCGTGCTTACCCACTTCAGCAAAGCGAAGAGTGGAGTTTTGAAGGGTCAGCAAGGTAGGGGGTCCAATATGTTTTCTGGTTGAAGCATCACCTCTTGGGCAGTCTTTATTTGAGTCTCATTTTGTGATTGATGTTGAAAAAACTGCACCTTTCAGGGCGAAGATGTGACCGTTAGCTACCCTCAAAATCAGCGAGTCCCCCAGAGTTGCCTTCCTGTGAAGTACGAGGCATCGTCGGACATCTCCGTCCGTGCTTTCAGCTCGCTCTAGTAAAGGGAACATATGGGTTTGTCTCAAGGGCGCAGCCCCACAAACTCACCTCAGCGCTTTACGTGGCATGGCTGGGCCTGCGAGTCTTGCTTTGGCTAAGCGAAAACAAGAGTCCAGGGCCAAGTGGGACTGAAGGTCTAGAGAGGTTAGAATAGAATAATGGTACCCTTGGTTTTCTGTAGTCTATTTGGGTAGGGGAACCCGCCCAACTAAAAAGGGGTTCAAAAAGGGCACGGGACTTAGGAGACCATTTTTTTCCGTAGTCTATTTTAGTAGGGGAACTAAACGAATCTCCCAACCAAAAGAGGGGTGAGAGGTCGGGCACCATTCGCTGGGATGCTGGGGGACCCCAGAAGAGTGACAGGCGAGCCTCCTGAAATGGGAAAAAACTAAAGCGGGAGCAAAGCAGATGATCGCGTCGGAGCGTGGGAGCATCTGCTCTCTGGGGCCCCCCGGCAATGGTAGCCTCAGCTGGCCCCCGATCAAGTTACCCTACCGCCCAAAGGGTAACCATGGAAAACGTACCTTGCCCGTGATAGTTACGGTAGGTCAAACGTGCGGGAACAACTTTTGACATAATATGTGCATAGACACGTGCTCTACATATCCATATGCAAAACCACACACACAGACACACACACACACACATACACACACACACACACAAAAAAAAAAGGAGTTCCCTACCCAAGTTCTCGATCAGCTAGCTCTGCGCAAATGAACTCTGCATGTTTCTCTGCTCAACTGTTCTAACCAAGTTCTTCGCATAAAACCTTGATGCAAACTCTCCAAATGATACTTGAGTTGCTCTTTGCAAGTGATCTACTGAAACGTATTCAAGCCATCCGCACGATGTAAAAAGGCCTGACCGCCATTGGAACGGAACACTTTAAAATGGTAAGGAGGCTGCATCTGAAAAAAGAAAAAGAAAAAAACATAAGGAGGCTATGTTGGATGATTTGGAAGCTTTGCAAACTCCTGAGTCGTCTGATTCATGAGAGTTCTCCATCATCTGCGCAAGCTCTTAAGCCCAAGAAAGCCAGCAGAGGAGCCTTCGGGGTTTGCCGGCACTCGGGCAACCAAAAGACTTGCAAGCAGTGCGCCCAAAGTGAACCGCTTTGGAAACTGAAGAAATCATCCTAGGTCAAATGCTTGGTTGCTCTTGACCCCCCTGCAAAAAGTTTAAATATTTGGGGCTTTAGTGGAAAACACCTTTATTTCTTAAAAAGTTAAAGTCTAAAAAACCAACCCAATAGCAGTCAAGAATATGCAGGGGCTGCTGGGCTGCTGGGATGTTGGGGGTTGAGTTCTCGGGTGGGGTTTTTGAATAATTGGACAATATGTGAGTTGTTGTTGGATAGCTAATGGTGAGAAAAAAAAACATACGATGCTCGTAATCATAAAGCGGGTGAGGGGTGCGCTGTGGATCCGAAAGAACATATACAGGTGCAGTTTTCTTAGGAAACAACTCTGGGCCGTCCTCAGATCCCCCGCTGAAAGCTCATCTTTTAGTGTTTTTGTTTTTGAAATCCGACCACTAAACCAGCTACAAGGCTAAAAAGCTAAGGTACCGGATGGCTGGAAGCCACCAAGAACTGCATTACGTCATTGTCCTCCATCTGTTTCAGCCCTCCCTCAAATGATCCCAAGAACATCTCCCCACGACTAACCGCCTGGGAGGCCCCTTGTTGCCTCCCATCCAGCTCTTGCGTCGGGAAGCCGACAAAGCCAGCAGTGCCCGTCACAAGGATGACGCGGCCTGAAGTGGCAAACTGAAAACGCAAGTGACGCCCCTGAACCGCATCAGGGCGGATCTGGCAACGCATGGTAAACCAGCCAAACATGACAAATGATCCATCGTGTGTATACATATATATATATATATATACATAGTTAGATCTATGTATATATATGTATATATGTATAGCTATATAACTAGCTCCTCCAGTAGAGAGGTTAGAATAAGGGTACCTTTTTCTTTTTTGTTTGCTGTAGTCTATTTTAGTAGGGGAACCCTCCCCCAAAACAGGGTGTTAAACAGGGCACTAATGGGGGACCTAGATAAATACTGCCGGATCCCTCCGAGAGCAATCATGTCCCCATCAGTTGCCGGTTCCCGGCCGTCAAAAGATATCGTCAGCGTGTCGCTTCAGCACAAAAGGCTTGTCCCATCTGAGTCGACTTGCCTAGGCTGTCCTCAGATCCCCCGCTAAAAGTTTAACTTTTAGTGGGCCAGATGGAACACCTCACTAAACACTAAAAAGCTAAAAAAGCTAAGGAACCGGTTGGCTGGGAGCCACCAAGATTGCAATGCCTTTAGTCACTGTCCAATGCTTCAGAGTGATCTAAGGTTTTCAAAACAGGGGCCCTCGTTGGAACGGCTCAAACAAGTCAAGAGTCATGAACATGTATTTTGCTTTGACTCCACGAGTTGACGTAGCACGCAATCGCGTATTGAGGTACCTACTACTTTAGGGGGCGATATCCTTGGAATTTCCTGCAGTCGCTGTTTGTCTGAAGAGCACATGGTACGCTCGGCAGGCGCAGCAGCGGCGCAACCATGCGGCCGTTCATTACATGTGCGTGAAGAGATCGTTTTGGACCGCTTTTTCGAGGTTTCGCAAGGAAACACTCGACACTCAACAAGCAAAGGCCGTTCTCCGAGAAACCACACCTTCTCACACTGAAATCTCTGAAACGACCGGTTGCCCAAGCCTGGTTGACAATGGAAAGGGAGCAAAAAAAACAAAATTTAGCAGGTAAGTGGTTGGATTTCAACCACTCAACCACTAAACCACAATAAGCAAAAATAAGCAAAATGGTTCCCGACAACAACCATGAAAACGGGTGGTTTTAAAGGGAAGCCCAGAAAACAAACCCAAATCCTTTTTTTTGGGGGGGTCCCCGAAAACCGGATATGTCGCATCCCCAACAAGCCCGGTCCGCGCCCGAAGGATTTCGCTCCGCCCGCCTGTGCTCGTCTTGCTGGACTCCGCGGCGGTGGTGCTCAGCTTGCGCTTCCGCGACCTTCGGAGGGCTTGGACCTCCTTCTCTGAGGGCTTGTGTGTGTGGTTTCCTTTGCCATTGAATCCAAACAAAACCATAAAAAACAGGAACAAAGTGAGAGGAAAATGGGGCGCCTTGGAAGTGGCCCCTTTTCTCCGGGGGTTTTTGTACACCCTGGGAATACACCCACTGGGTATTGACCTCATTTAGGCACAATTTTCTGGGCTGTCCTCAGATCCCGCGAACCCAGTGAAACGTTGCCGGGGGTGCGGTGCATTCTTGTTTAGTAGGGGAAACCTCCCCCCCTTTTTGGGCACTACTGGGGGACCTAGGCACAATATAGTGATTGAACCTCTCGAACCCTGCTTCTGCGGCTGCTCTTGAGTGCGTCCAGTTGTCTAGCAAGAATGACTGTGATATGCAGCTAGGTATCTATTTGTTGAGCTACCTTCCTGAATTTTGCGATTCATATGCATCCGTCTAGCTATCGCCTGAAGAATGCACAACCTAACAACAGGTTGGTGTTCTGCACGTTGGCCCTCCAGAAGTACGCAAACGGCCGTGCACGCAAAGTACAAACCAATCAATTCCAACACACGCACACAAGCATAGGTGTCCTTTTAGGGCAAATAGATGGCCCTGGTTGATGATTTAACCACCAGGTAAACCAGGGCCATCTATTTTTCTACCAAAACAACCAAAAAGGACAAATCTATGCACACAAGTTTTTGGAGGCCCAGAAAGGGCTGCAAGAGCCAAGTGAAACCTGCCAGAGGTCCACTGAGCCCCGATCCCCTCTGTTGCCATTGCGCCCGCAACCTGGCGCAGGCGAAAGGAGGCCAACGTGCTGTCCCGGGCATCCGGCTACCTTGTCCCTTTGGCAATCAACCGGTATCAACGTCTTGCTTTTCCTGAAGCCTTACTTTTTGGAGGCGACCTCACTCCCCTGGTGCTAAAGCTTAACTTGGAAACAGCCACAAAACCAACTAATAGAAAGCTAAGGGGATGGCTGGGAACCACGAAGTTTACACAATGAACATAAACAATGCCCGGCTGAGCCGCTAGCCGCCATCTGCGGTTCTTTGTGCTAAAGTTGTTGTCCGGCCAAATTGGGCCAGCCCACGACTATCCCTGGAATTCCGTTGCTACTGACGAAGTCCTGCACCAAGAAGAAACCATGATTGAAACCATTGTTGGCATTTACCGGGAATCGAATCATTCCAGGCGCGCTCTTAGGTGGCGCGAAATGGGGATTTCGTGCATCCACAGTATCGCGAAACAAAAGCCAAGGCCTCCGATTTGTTGAACCCACGCGCTCAGGAAGTGCCCCCGCCTTAAGGTGAAGACCCGGCTGGCGCGACCGGGAAACTAAGAGGCGCTTCAATCCTTTGTGCGTTGCGGCGTTTTTTGTGCCGGATGTGTTGCCCGGAGTTGTTTTTCTTCTTCGCGAGCTCGAGCCTTAGAACCAGCTCGAGCAGGATGCGAGCGCCGGGTTTCTGAAGATTTCGGTCGCCCCTTTCCACGCCAAGCGCGGGCCCTCGAAAAAGGCGGAGCCCGAAGACTCCGGGTGAGGGTTGAACAACAACCCCCTTCGCATGCCGCCCGCCAAACAGGAATGGGCGCGCCCAAATACACAAAACATTCTCCGTCCCAGGCACCACTCCCCCGAACAACTGGTAGACTAACTGACCTTCAAGAAATAACAATCACATGCAATTCGGGTGCCTGAAATTCCATTTCCTTAAGCCGCCTCAAAAATGGAGCAATCTTTCCAGTAGTGAAACCGATTCCCCTTAAAACCAAGGGAAAATGCAACACATCTTCACTTCTGCAAATGGAAGTGAAGGATTTGAGGCCTAAGGGCCCCTTTGTGAAGGCATCCAAAGGCTGCCTGGAAAGAGGTTCGCGCTCAGAACTCGCGTCGCGGCCTTTTCACAGCACTCGGTGCAGCAAGCTCCATCTTTCACATAAAACATGAGTCCCACTCTTCTTGAGAACTCTGGGTGTGTCCTTTTTTGAGGCTACCCGTCGTGTGGCAGCTTTATCTTTTTTGCAGAGGAAACCAAAACGGAATTGGGGGGCCCCCCTAAAAAGGACACACCTATATGCTGGGCTGTCCTCATCCCCCTGCGAAAAGTTCTCAACTTTTTGTGGGTTTCATTGAAATCCAACCACTAAACACTAAACAGCTCAAAAGCTAAGGGGATGGATGGGAGCCACCAAGTATGGACATCACACCATGGCCAGCCAGTACCAATAGGACTCCATCTCGCACGCCCTGGAGGATTGTAGCTTGCCTGAATGCGAGTTTCATAGCAAAGCCACTCGACAAGACGGCTATGTGGTGAATCTGTGGATCTAGCTCTGCATACCCCAAAAGAGGAACATATTAGGATATGGCCATGGTTCAAAACCGATGGTACCATTTTGGGGTAGGTGTGCCACCCATTTTGGTCTATTTTAGTGGGGATTGGGATGTTCACTGGGGGTATGGGGTTTTGACCCATGGCCATATCAACCTGTAGGATAGATACTTGTTATCACAGGAGGCCACCTTTTGGGTTTCCTCTTGGCGAAAGCCCACCTTACCTAGGATTTGTTTCTCGATCCCCCCCCGCACCGAGAAATGCCAAGAAACCATGGTTTTAATGGATTCAAAGTGGGCATGGATGGCTTTCTCACTTCCAATCGGTGGACTGGCCAAAAAAGCAAGCCACTAAAATGGTGTTCTCAAAGAGTTTAGCGTCCAAGAGTCCATGAACTTAGGGAGTGAGGTCTAGAGCAAGTTCCAACTTCCCTTTGCATCTTTAACGCGCCATTGCCAAGACTCCGGATTTGAGTTGTGGTTGTGGCTCCCTTGATATGGATCCGACAAAATGGCCATCCCTATCCACCAAGAACAACGCGTAAGGTTGACATGGGATTCATTTAGCCATAGCATTGAACAGGGCCCACAACCCCCCCAAAAAAAAACAAAGAAGAAGAAGAAGAAACAACAACAAGAACAACACTAAACGATTTCAACCACTCAAACTCATGAACATAAACTCATGTTCAATTAACAATATGTCATCGGACAAGGCCCCACGACCCGCCCCCTAAATAATACAAAAGTTCAAATCCCCCTTGTGATGCCGCTGGTACCGCTTTGTTTGTGCCCATAGTGTGCTCATACTATACCCTGCGTCTTTTTCATTTGCGCCCTAACTGTTTTGGAATGCCAAAGCCAAGAAAGCTGGCAGCTTTGCCTTAGGACTCTTGTTCAGCCACACCCGAAAACCAAAAAATTCAAGCACCTGGACCTTCAAACTACAAGAAAACAGGTCTTGCCACCAAATAGACGTCAAATGCATGTCTCCATTTTTCAAGGGTAGTTTGAGGGTCCACGGGTTCTTGCCCAACGCCCTCGCTTCGCCTGCAAGGGCCGTTTCATGTGAAGAAACCGTGCCTTCGCCCTTAAATCTTCTCTCATTGTCCGAGAACAACAAAACGAGGTGACTCAGGTGTCCCTCAACCTCCGCGCTGTGATTTTTTTTTGCATCCTGCTCGAGAAATCGGTGCCTATGAAGTGGGATCCCAAAGCTTCAGCCCAGTGGCTGCAAGTCATGGCCAGGTCCTTAGAATTGAAACATCCGAGCCCGTCTCGAGTGTGGAACAAAGACATCCGGAAGCCGAATCGACTCGACCAAAGCCGTTTTTCAGGCTTTATGCTCCCCAAAACGGAGCCAAAGGCTCCCTTTGGAACCCTTGAAGTATAGAAAGTGCCAACTGAACAAAAAAACAAACTTGGAGCGCCGCTTCAGCGAAACAAGGCATCTCAAACTAATTGCTGTGGGTTGGTACAAAGTCTAATCCTCGCTTCCTGAGTGGATGGCCCAAAAAAAACCCAAACTTTATATTTCCCACTAGAACGGTCCAAACCCAAAAAGTTTAAAGTGCATGAACTCAGGAAGTGAGAATCAAGGCGTGTTCAGTCCACATTGGAAACTGAGGTAACCCAAACCCCCAGTGGCCATGAAAAAACAGATACACTTTTTTGGAGCAGTTGATTCTACAGGGAACCCCCGCGGAAAAACTCGGTTCGGTTCACAAGTACGGATAGTTCGAGGTCCGGCCAGGTGTCTTCTTTGAAGTTGGTACCAAAAGGAAAACTGAGCCATTTTGGGGGCCACCCTAAAAGACACAAACAACCTCCTGAGCCCAAAACGTTTAACGTACTGGGGTGGAGTGTTGCGCATGTTTGCGGTTTATACCTCAACGCCAACAGATGCTCACTTCCTCAGTGGATGGGCCAAAACAAACGAGTCCTTTAAACATTTTGCGTACCCATAAAATGGTCTTCTCAAAAGGTCCTAAGTCAAGGAACTCAGGAAGTGAGGATGTTGGCTTTCCTTGCCCCCTCAATGTCGCGTAATAAAGCGTGGTACGCTGAAGAAAACACCTCGCACTCAGACCCGGTTGCCCAGTGACTCAGTGACCAGTTGCCCAGTGACCAGTTGCCCGGTGACCAGTTGCCCAGTGACCCTGGCAGAACAAAAGCCTTGAGGTTCATCGTTTGTAGAGAGGGGCAGACCAAACAAGAAAGGCAAAATCACATCCTTTGCGCCTTCAAAAGAAGAGGAATAATCACACATTGTTTTGCGCGGAACCCATTGAACACACAAAGACAGAATCACATCCTTTGCGAGGAACCAAACAAAAATAACAACCAAATTAATAGATCTGCATTTCTTATACGTCCAAAGCCTGAAATCCGCCGACAACAGACGGCGTGTTGGACACAAAAAATGCTCCTTACCTCTTTACCTGTTACCCCTCCCCTAACCCCTCCCCAGGGGGCACCATTTCAGACTATTGCCGGGGGGGGGGGGGGTCCACGTACCACGCGGTGATTCGAAGACGCTTCACTAAATCTGTTCATTGTGCGGGCTTGCGCTCAGTTTGTCAAAAACATTGGGGTGTTCGATTCCCCCCGGGTGCGCTTTCGCATCCTTGGCAGCTCCAGCGGCACATCGCCAGCATCACCTGCATCATCCGCATCAGCGCCTGCCAAGGATGCGGATGATGCAAGTGATGCTGGGGATGTTGCCCATGCTGGTGAAGGAAATGAAGGGGGGAAAGGGGGAAAGGATCTCAACAGCGAAAGGGGGGAAAGATCTCAGGGAGGAAAGGGAGAAGATCTGGGGAAAAAATGCCTTAAGAGAAAGATCTTTGGGAGGAAAAGGGAAATCTTTCTCGGGGGGAACAGGCCCTAAGGGGCAATGGGGGGACAGGATCTCAAACGGGAAAGGGGGAAAAAGACTTTGGGAAGAGAAGGGTGGAGATCTTCGGGGGAAAAGGCCTTAGGGGGGAAACGGGGGAAAGGATCTTAAGCGGGAAAGCGGGGAAAAGATCTTAGGGAGGCAAAGGGAGACGAACTCAGGGAGAAGGACTCAGGGAGGAAAGGGGGGGAAAGATCTTTGGGAGGAAAAGGGAGAAGAACTGAGGGTGGGAAAAGGCCTTAGAAGGAAAAGGGGGGAAATAAATGATCTCAACAGGGAATTGGGAGGGGGGGGAAAGATCTTAGGGAAGAAAGGCAGAAGATCTGGGGCAAAAAGGCCTTAGGAGGGAAAGGGGAGAAATGATCTCAACAGGAAAGGAGTGGAAAAGATCTTAGGGAGGAAAGGGAGAAGATCTGGGGAAAAAAGGCCAACAGGGAAAGGGGGGAAAAGATCTTAGGAAGGAAAAGGGAGAAGCTCTCAGGGGGGGAAAGGCCTTGGGAGGGAAAGGGGGGAAAGGATCTCAACAGGGAAAGGGTGGGAAAGATCTTAAGGAGGAAAGGGGGGGGAAGATCTTAGGGAGGAAAGGGAGACGATCTGGGAGAAAAGGACTTAGGGGGGAAAGCCCAACAGGGAAAGGGGGGAAAAGATCTTAGGAAGGAAAAGGGAGAAGCTCTCAGGGGGGGGAAAGGCCTTAGGGGGGAAAGGGGGAAAAGGATCTCAGCAGGGAAAGGGGGGGGGAAAGATCTTAGGGAGGAAAGGGAGAAGATCTGGGGACAAAGGCCTTAGAGGGGAAAGGGGAGAAATGATCTCAACAGGGAAAGGGGTGGAAAAGATCTTAGGGAGGAAAGGGAGAAGATCTGGGGGAAAAAAGGCCAACAGGGAAAGGGGGGAAAGATCTAAGGAAGGAAAAGGGAGAAGCTCTCAGGGGGGGGGAAAGGCCTGAGGGGGGAAAGGGTGGGAAGGATCTCAACAGGGAAAGGGGGGAAACAATCTTAGGAAGGAAAAGGGAGAAGATCTGGAAAGGCCTTAAAGGGAAGGGGGAAAGGATCTCAACAGGGAAAGGGGGCAAAGGATCTTAAGGAGGAATAGGAAGAAGATCTCAGCGGGGGGAAAGGCCGTAGGGGGGAAAGGGGGGAAAGGATCTCAACAGGGAAAGGGGGGGAAAGATCTCAGTGAGGAAAGGGAGAAGGTCCCAGGCAGGGAAAAGGCCTTAGGGGGGAAAGGGGGAAAGGATCTCAACAGGGAAAGGGGGCAAAGGATCTTAGGGAGGAAAAGGGAGAAGATCTGAAAAGGCCTTAGGGGGAAAAGGGGGAAAGGAGCTCAACAGGGAAAGGTGGGAGAAGATCCTAGGGAGGAAAAGGGAGAAGATCTCGGGGGGAAAGGGGGAAAGGATCTCAACCAAGGGAAAAGATCTTGGGGAGGACAAGGGAGAAGATCTCAGGGGGGGAAAGGCCTTAGGGGGGAAAGGGGGGAAAGGATCTCAACAGGGAAAGGGGGCAAAGGATCTTAGGGAGGAAAAGGGAGAAGATCTTGGGGGGGAAAACGCCTTAGGGGGGAAAGGGCGGGAAAGGATCTCAACAAGGAAAGGGGGGAAAAGATCTTAGGAAGGAAAAGGGGGAAGATCGCGGGGGGAAAAAAGGCCTTAGGGGGGAAAGGAGGGAAAGGACCTCAACAGGGAGAGGGAAAAACATCGTAGGGAGGAAAATGGAAAAACTCAGAGGGAGAAAGGGCCTTAGGGGGGAAAGGGGGAATGGATCTCAACAGGGAAAAATTGCAAAAGGTCTTAGGGAGGAAAAGGGAGAAGATCTCAGGGGGGCAAAGGCCTTAGGGGGGAAAGGGGGGAAAGGATCTCAACAGGGAAAGGGGTGGAAAAGATCTTAGGGAGGAAAGGGAGAAGATCTGGGGGAAAAAAGGCCAACAGGGACAGGGGGGAAAGATCTAAGGAAGGAGAAGCTCTCAGGGGGGGAAAGGCCTCAGGGGGAAAGGGTGGGAAGGATCTCAACAGGGAAAGGGGGGAAACAATCTTAGGAAGGAAAGGGGGGGGGGAAGATCTTAGGGAGGAAAGGGAGAAGATCTGGGAGAAAAGGACTTAGGGGGGAAAGCCCAACAGGGAAAGGGGGGAAAAGATCTTAGGAAGGAAAAGGGAGAAGCTCTCAGGGGGGGGAAAGGCCTTAGGGGGGAAAGGGGGAAAAGGATCTCAGCAGGGAAAGGGGGGGGGGAAAGATCTTAGGGAGGAAAGGGAGAAGATCTGGGGACAAAGGCCTTAGAGGGGAAAGGGGAGAAATGATCTCAACAGGGAAAGGGGTGGAAAAGATCTTAGGGAGGAAAGGGAGAAGATCTGGTGGAAAAAAGGCCAGCAAGGAAAGGGGGGAAAGATCTAAGGAAGGAAAAGGGAGAAGCTCTCAGGGGGGAAAGGCCTTTGGCGGGAAAGGGTGGGAAGGATCTCAACAGGGAAAGGGGGGAAACAATCTTAGGAAGGAAAAGGGAAAAGATCTGGAAAGGCCTTAAAGGGAAGGGGGGAAAGGATCTCAACGGGGAAAGGAGGCAAAGGATCTTAAGGAGGAATAGGGAGAAGATCTCAGCGGGGGGAAAGGCCTTAGGAAGGAAAGGAGGGAAAGGATCTCAACAGGGAAAGGGGGGGAAAGATCTCAGTGAGGAAAGGGAGAAGATCCCAGGCAGGGAAAAGGCCTTAGGGGGGAAAGGGGGAAAGGATCTCAACAGGGAAAGGGGGCAAAGGATCTTCGGGAGGAAAAGGGAGAAGATCTGAAAAGGCCTTAGGGGGAAAAGGGGGAAAGGAGCTCAACAGGGAAAGGTGGGAGAGGATCCTAGGGAGGAAAAGGGAGAAGATCTTGAAGGGAAAGGGGGAAAGGATCTCAACCAAGGGAAAAGATCTTGGGGAGGACAAGGGAGAAGATCTCAGGGGGGGAAAGGCCTTAGGGGGGAAAGAGGGGAAAGGACCTCAACAGGGAAAGGGGGCAAAGGATCTTAGGGAGGAAAGAGAAAGGGGGGGAAAGATCTTAGGGAGGAAAGGGAGAAGATCTGGGGGCAAAGGCCGTAGGGGGGAAAGGGGAGAAATGATCTCAACAGGGAAAGGGGTGGAAAAGATCTTAGGGAGGAAAGGGACAAGATCTGGGGGAAAAAAGGCCAACAGGGAAACGGGGGAAAGATCTAAGGAAGGAAAAGGGAGAAGCTCTCAGGGGGGGAAAGGCCTGAGGGGGGAAAGGGTGGGAAGGATCCGTAGGGGGGAAAGGGGGGAAAGGATCTCAACAGGGAAAGGGGCGGAAAGATCTCAGGGAGGAAAGGAAAAAGATGCCAGGGAGGAAAAGGCCGTAGGGGGGAAAGTGGGGGAAAGGGAGGAAAAGGGAGAAGATCTCAGGGGGGGAAAAGGCCTTAGGGGGGAAAGGGGGGAAAGGATCTCAACAGGGAGAGGGGGGAAAACATCTTAGGGAGGAAAAGGGAAAAAACAGAGGGAGAAAAGGCCTTAGGGCGGAAAGGGGGAATGGATCTCAACAAAGAAAGGGGGGCAAAAATCTCAGAGGGGAAGGGGGCAAGGGGACAATTCCAAAGGGACGCAAATAAAAAAGCAGGCCTGTAACGTCGGCGGCCTGAGCCGGAGGCGTTAAAATAAGAATGGGATCCCTAAGTAAAGGATCTTTGCCATGGCTTTCGATCAAACAAAGTGATCTCGCCGATTGCGCGGAATAGATTCAACAAATCTATTCTGGGCTGTCCTCAGATGCCCCCGCTGGAGGTTTAACTTTTAGTGGGTTAAATGGACACCCCCACAAAACCAACTAAGAAACCTGCTAAGGAACCGCATGGCTAAAAGCCACCAAGTTGTTGGCATGAAGAAATCTCACTCCGAGATCTTCGCGATCGCCGATCGCCGACTCGAAAAGACGCCGAAGACGCCGAAGTCCCGAGGCGCGAGGAAGGGCGTGCGATCTGCCGGCTCCATCCGCAGCGCCGAGTAGAGCAGCTGCCGCAGCGACGCCTTGAAGCGAAGGTCTGGATCCACAAAAACCGAAACATATTTTTTCCTCTCAGATGCCCAGTGGATTTCCATGGGGAAAAAACTGGCACCCTTTTTGGTTGCTTGAGTTTAAAGGGGAACCCTTACCCAAAAAAAAGATGAAAAAGGGCACCACGGGGCAACAGAGTGTTGACCCCATACTAATCAACCCCTGCTTACTTGATATGCCCCTCCAACAGCAATGGTTCCCCACTAAACCCAGGTAACTGGGGTTTGTAAATATGGGGTCAACCTGCTTATCTGTCCTAAGATCCCCCGGTAGAAGTGACTAACTTTTAGTATAGCGGATTAAGTACAGAAATCCAACTAATAAAAGAAAAAAGCTAAAAAGCTAAGGGGATGGCTGGGAGCCACCAGGTTATTGATATGGGGGTGACCAAAATGGTGATCAAAATGATCATCCAGCTCTTGCTCATGGCGCTCGCGCTGTTTTTGGAAGCTCTACGCGTTTGGACCGACTTGAATCTACGGTTTGACGCTCCTTTATCTTCACATCGTTCTCTTTAGAAACTATCTATTTTCCAGGGTTTGGCGGAGAAGGATGGGGAGGGTACAGCTAGAACTTGTAGTTCTTGGACCTCCAACTTAGGCTGGGACCTTGAAGCTGCGAAAGCAGACCTCCAAAAAGTTCGATTGGACCTCCATTCTGAGATTGGACCTCCCTGCGTTCTTGCTTGACATCTAGCTATCTAACTACTTTTGTTTGACCTCGAACCTTATGGACATGCAAAGGGTAGCTGGGCGGTAAATACCTCTCTCCTGTTGATTTGCGGCTGGACATGGAATCAATTACTCTGATACCTGAAACCCCCCCTCCTCAAAGCATCAGCCACTAAGGCAGTTTCCTGGTAATGAATTATGATAGAACTGGGTCCCCCAGAACTGCCTGAAAAAACTGGGGGCTTGGCCAGCTGGCCAAACCCCTTGTAAAACGATTGAACCGGTCAACACGTGTTTCTTTACCCTCTTTCCAACACGGGACTCACTCCCTGAGTGGATGGGCCGAAAAAAGACCGAACTCTTTACTTTTTATTTACCACTAAGGTGGCCCAAACCCAAAAAGTAACTACAGCCCATGAACTCAGGGAGGGAGTTCATGGCAGTGGACGAGGGCCTTCCCCAAACGGCATTGGCAGTCGTCCACTCCGCTGACCCGAGGTCGGCACCGGGCAAGGGTCAGGCGGCTGCGGAATCTGCCGCCCATAGCCCACGGAGGCCATCGTCTGAAAAGCCGTGTACTCCTGAAGCCGCAAGTCTCGGACACTCGAGAAACTTCAACTCTAGGAAACTCAGATGTTCAGTGACCCTGGAAAAAAAAGGATCCCTTTTTTGGGAAACCATTTTAGTGGGGCAGCCACAAAAAAAGGGGAAAAAGGGAGCCACTGAACAACTGAGGCAACTCCCGTTTTTGTTCTTCTCCTTTTTTCCGTGCCGGGTTCTTGCGGTCCACTTTCAAGGAGAGCCCCCCTTTTCGGAGAATTGTCGGACGCTGCAAAATTGTTTCTGGTTGCACTGTGGCCTATTTGCTGCGGTGTTGCTACTGACTGGGTTCAGACCTGTGCAGACTTGCGCATTGAAGCGGCAGGGGAAAACGCGTTCGCGGCCTTTGTTGCACACTAAGGTTGCCCTTAGAACCGGCTGGTCTTCAACCTTCTGTCAGTAGAAGCAGCCGGGCGCATTTTTTGGCTCAACTCCCCGGCTGTTGTGCCTGTTTCCAAAAAACAGCGTGGGATGTGTAAAGCACCCAAATGCCGCCAATGCAGAATCCGAGAATGCACCCGAGAATGCACATTACAAAGTCAAGGGGCGACAGCAAGATCACCCAAGCGCTCTGCTCGGTGCCCGGAGCTATCTTCTCTGCAGGAATCTCATGAAAAGTTCAACAAGAGCACCGGCCGGTTGCCCCTCTAAAACTCGCTAAAACAGGGTTGTGGGAAATGACCACTTCTGTGATACAACAACAAGCGCTTCCCACAGACTTCCACCCCATTTTGTGGGGGAGATTCCCTTGTGTCACAGAAGTGGGAATAAACCCCTTGATTCCACAACCCTGCTCTAAAATGATCTGTAAGAAAAACACGCTGTCAGAACATCTGCTACAAGTTTTTCCTTATGGGTTCAATGACCCCCCCCCCAAAAAAAAAAAAAACCTTCAAAGCTAAGGAACCGGATGGCTGGGAACCACCAAGCAAAGGGGTAGTTGTTTTTCTTTTACCCTCCGGTCACTTCGTGCTTCTCCCTGTTGAAGCCTCAACACTGGGTTCATTATTTTGACGGTTTCTGGGGGTTATCAAAGTCAGTAAATGGAATCGGTTGGTTCCTTTCATCCACCACTTAGGGGGTGACTTGGCCATGGTAAAAACAATGAAGCTATAGTCCACAACCACAGGTGTCCTTTTTGGTTGGTTTGCTTAAAACATAGAGGGCGATTCCTGCTTGACCTGTTTTTGTCTTTCTTCTTTTTTTCCCGTAATGAGGCCAGCAAAAGTTCAAACCAAATCCGCTCAGACCACGCCCGACGCCCGACGCCCGACGCCCGACGCCCGACGCCCGACGCCCGACGCGGCGCCGGTCCTGGAAGGGGATCTGCTTCGCAATCATCTCCTCGGGTCAAAAATGCAAAACAAGGGCCCCCAGGACCCTTTTGGAACTCAGCCCTGTTCTGTGGCAAAACCAGCTTCCTGGAGCTGTCCCAGGATTTGTTTGTTTAAAACATAATTCATATAATCTATAGCAACTAGGTCCTCCAGATTTGAGAGGTTAGAATAAGGGTGCCCTGTGTCCTGTAGTCCCCTCCCAACCAAAGAAGGGGTGAGAGAAGAGCACCTAGCTGGGGGACCTAGCTGTTCTGTGGTTCCCAACATTGAAACAAACACATCCATGCCCCAAGCAACGCATGAGCCATTGGAACCAATGGCTTCGCCATGAAGTGTTTCCACCTTGCGGCCAACCAACGAACCGATTCTGCACGTTACTTCCGCGAAAAAAACACCAACTTTTCACACATAGGGGGGGTTGGGGGGGTCGCGTTTCGTTTGGGGGGAAGGGCACTCTTTACATGCCCGCCTTCTAGCACAAATCTTCCAGGCCCTTGCCATTTTTGCAAACACCCTGCGACCGACAATGACAAACCAGCCAAACAAAAAGGCGACTTAAAGCTCAGTTGCCCCTTCAAAACCCAGAACTACAAGGTGATCACCTTTTGGAGTCATGACCTCTACACATGGACAAAAGGGGAAACTGATTCAGGTCAGAGCCGGTCGAGTCGCATTGGGCAAGTGAGATCACATGCAACTTTCTTGGAGGAAATATCACCGAGAAGCCTTGCCCGGATTTCCTTTTACGGATGTATTCACCAAGATGGCCAAACCATATTTCTAACACCCCCTGTATTTTCACCCCCCCCGCCCCTTTTGCTTGTGGGTGCGTTTTAATTTGTTGGTCCAGATATGTGTTTGCAAGAAAAACGGGTCCAAACCAGCTATGCGTGTCACTAAAACGGCCTCGTGCAAAGTCCGCCGTTTGTCACTCAAATGCAACCCCCAAAGTGACATTCAGCACGTGAACTCGAGTGGGTTACATCATTGTACCCTACCTGAACAGGGCGACGCGTCCCAAGAAATCAATCCAGGGTATCCCCAACAGCCCTGGGAACTGGAACCCTCTGGAACCCGGAACCCGCCCGGAAAGCTGCCCCAAACCAGCCACAGGGCATGGGCCTACCGACCCCCAAGCCTTCAGCTGGGGAAAATGAGCTCAGGTACCGCGGGTGGAACTAAGTTGCTTTGAGTAAAAAACCGCGCGGGATTTTTCGCGCGATGTTTTGCGCATTGCGGCACGGCACCCACAGCACCATGCCGAAGGAGTAGACGTCCGAGGCCTTGCTGTAGCCCTCGCACCTCAGCACCTCTGGCGCCATGTACTGATACGTGCCCAGGCACCCGGCGTGGACCTTGGAGCTTTGAGCTTTGGAGCTGGGACCCCGAGCCAAGGGGGCGAATTGGGGGGAGGGGAGGGGTGGGGAGGAGCTGGGCGGCGGGAGCTGGGGCTTATCCAGGCGCCCAGAGTCTCAGAGGCCTTCTGAAGGGGGACGCCGACTGCATGCCCCATGGCTGTTGAGTCCGGGCGTTCAGGCGACACAGCTGCCAGCCGACAGATATATTTCTGGGCTGTCCTCAGATCCCCCACACTTGTGCGTGAAGGGCTGATCTCAGAGAACATCTCACGCAACTTCCCACACAACTTCACGCCCCTTTGACTCTGCACTTCGGTGACCGCCTCGGCCGAAAAAACAAATCGAACCTCGAGCTCCAACGCTGGGCCTGGGACCGGATTTTGGTGGACTTGAGCCCATGACTTGCCCTGAAGGGCTTCAGCCAAGCCATTTGGGAAGCATCGAACCAATCTACGCCTAGCCGTCACCAGCCCACCCCGGAACCTCCACCTTCCTTGAAATAGGGGTTGATTCCTTTTCCATTCTTTTCAACCATCGTTCTTTTCAAAAACCGATCGCTGTTTCCCCAGGGGTTTTGGCTGGTTTTTCAGAATGAAGGATGCCTGCAAGGAATGGGGAAGGTACCCCTAGAACCAAGCACAAAACTCCCGAATCCCGAACTTGGACCTCGGCTCCTTTGGGAAGATCCGATGTTCGTTTTTCATGTCCATCTCCAAGTGAGGATTGGACATGACTTGGGACCAAACCGTCCCGTCTGATTCCCTGGGTCTTCCCGGAAAACTTGGGATCCCAACTTGGGCCATAAGGTTGGAAACCAAGACCGTGTCGTGCCCTGCCACCATGGCAGAGACAAAGCGCTCGCGTTTTGAATGCTGAACAAACGGCCAGAATGATTCAATCTCAAATCAGACATCCACTAAGACTGGCTCTTGACCCCCGAGACCCTGAAGGAAGACTTGGGTGCAAACCAGCAAGCACTTCCAATGGCTACTGCAAGGGCTTGAATCATTCGAATCGGGTTGTGGGGTACTGTAGAAACTGATTCAGCCATGGATATGAGTATCTCACTTCCTGGATGGGCACAAAAAACGGTTCCCGCTAAAATGGTCAAAAGCCAAACAAAGCTGAGAAAGTCCAGGAGCTCAGGGTCTGAGTGAGGCAAGCCCCTGACATGCCAAGATTTTAAGGCGAATGGAAGCTTGACTCGACTCGAAATCCGGGGCGCCGTCTTGCGGTAGAAATCTCCTTCCTCGTCCGGTAAGACAAGGGTGGACGCCGGGTCCGCGGGATTGTCCAAATGCTGAGCCAGGCCAAAGTCGCAGATCTTGACCTTGAAAGTCGGATCGATTCGACACGGTGACACCGGTAGCAACAAATCAAACCCAGCCATAGATGACCCTGTGAAAAAAAAGATGGCCCTAGAATAAAACCTGTCTAAATCAGTGCCATCGACTTCTAAGCACAGTGACCTTGAAAGGCCACCTTTTAACCCAGCTTCCTTCCAAATGGTGGTTTGGATGGTTTGGAGGTTTAGGGGGTGGTTCCCATTTACCTCTACAGGATCAGGGACCCGGTCAAATCCCCAAACCATTCCACACACCACCAATTCAGGGTGACCATGGTGAGCTGAAAAAAATAGACATGTCTCTTTCAAGAATCCGATGTTTAGAATGGAACCCGCTTAGCCACCAAACAAACAGAAAAACAAAGGCGCCACAACGCACATCTTGCCAATTTCTTACACGGGTGCAGGATCGGAGGCGCAACGTGCGGTGGAACACTCATGGCTCACAAGCAAGAAACGCCTACTTGCAAAGAGAGACTGCGTGCTTCCTTGAATTGAAAGCTTCCTTTCAAACAGTTGCACAAATGAATGCAGCTAGGTCCTCCAGTAGAGATTAGAATAAGGGTACCCTTTTTTCTGTACTCTATTTTAGTTGGGGAACCCTCCCCCAAAGGGCACTACTGAGGGACCTAGCTGGCTTTTCGGAGCCCGAAACGACCCGGTTCCCTGGCAACACCTGGTTTTGAGGCTACCTGGTTTCCAGGTAGCATCCACGTTTTGGGGTCTGTCTCTTCTTGGGGGACCCCCAAAATAGCTTGGTTGACATTGGAAGGGGGGCAAAAAAATAAGTTTTAGCAGTCAAGTGGTTGGATTCCCACTAAACGACAACAAGTAAAAATGTAAAATGCTTTCCAACAACAACCATGAAATGGGCAAACCAGGTGATGTTGAACACCCCCAAAAAGGGAAACAACTCAAGGCAGTCTGCGCTTCAAGGCTTGAAGTGAACAACCATGATAGAGGTGTCCCTTTCTTGGTTGCTGTCGACCCCGCTGCAAAAAAAGCCTTTAATTCCCAAAAAGTTAAAGTCTAAAGATCCAACCCAATAGCAGTCAAGCTTTTTGGTGAACCCCGGGTTCCGGCTCCATATGTTCCATGGCCACGTGGGGAATCCGCTACCCGCCGCCTTTCCGCGGAAACTTTCCGACAAGGTACGTCCAGGGGGAAGTAGGAGTGGTGCTGGTTGGCGCTCCAGGTGCCCCAGCAAGTCACTGCATCTTTGGCAGGCTCCTGGAGCTTCCCGTCATGAGAAAGAAAAAAAAAGCGAGCTTCCTGGAGCTGTCCCAGGAAATAAAGAAATGACAGAAGTTCATTTAATGTATATAGCAACTAGGTCCTCCAGATTTGAGAGGTTAGAATAAGGGTGCCCGTTTTTCGGTAGTCTATTTTAGTAGGGGAACCCTGCCCCCAAAAAAAGGGTAAAAGGGCACTACTGGGGGACCTAGGCAAATACACCGTTTCATTGGTTTTTGGCTCTGGCTTCCTGCATCCTCAACATCACCAGTTCCTCGCCGGCAAGTGTTCTTCATCTTCATGTTTATGCATGTCTGCATGTATGTATGTAATCTATGACATCTATTTATGTATGTCTGTATGTATGCACATCAGCCCCCCCCCCAAAAAAAAAAAGAGCCGCATAAACCAACAAGAAGCCGAAAATCCAAGAAGCCGAGAAGCCAAGAAGCCAAAAAGCCAAGAAGTCAAGAAGCCAAGAAACCAAAAGCGGGGAGAAACAAGATACAAACAAAACGAAAAACGTCCTAACAACATATCCTCCTTTAGCAATGTAAGTGTAACTATGGAAAATAACTACCGTTCAACGAAGACACGGCCTGTTTTCTTTTATTTTTATTTTATGGGGGAGTAGTAAAGAAAGTGATGTCTAACATTGCCAAACAAGCGCATCTCCTGAAAACTGATGCAGACCAAACAAAGCCAAAGTCACTGCCGGTGGCAACAGCACCTCTGCCGCGCTTGAGGGCGGCGCAGCGGTGTTCTGAACGTGGCTTCCCCAAAACTTGTCTGAGTCAAGTAGAGAACTTCTGTCAAATTGCTTCTGACCGGCACAATCCATGTTGGATCAGTTGAATCCTCCTTACTCCGACCTGCCGTGCAAACAGTTGAGCAGAAAACGAGCAGAAAACGACATGTGTGAATGTCTCGGCTCGTTTTTTCAGCACTTCGAATGCTGAAAATGCAGAGCGAGGGTCATGATTGGCAACCAGCACGTTCATCGTCTTTATGTCGCAGTGAACCTGAGCAACGAAAGGGTGGACTCCGTTGGCTGGAAATAGGACCCCAGCAATTAAAATATGTATGTATATATATATATATCTTTTTTGCCTGGTTAGTGAAAAACAAAGGGGACCCCAAAAAAGCAAAAAAGGAAAAAGGGGAGCTAATTCTGGTTGGAAGATCCGAGGGCGGCAAATGTCCAAGTTGTTCATCGTCTCAGCCCGCGGGCTTGCCTGCGAGAGCCCGGTAAGGGGAAAAGGAAGCGCAAAGAACATGTTGGGTCAACCCAACATGTTGATTTCGGGACACTGACGGGACAAACCACGAGCTAAGATTTGGTTTGTGCCAGGGACATGTTCCCTCAAGTGGTCTGAATCCGTACAAGGAGACACGCCCCAATCAAAAAAACATCAAAGCAATTCACATGGAACCTGTCAGGGGGGCCCTGCAAATTGAAGCAGTTTCCGTTTAAAGGGAGCCCACTGTCAGGGCTGTGGGAAATGGAATCCACTTCTGTGATACAACCAAAAGGGCCTGAAGACTAACCCCCCATAAGAGGGGATTCCCAAACGTATCACAGTGGGTTTAAACCGCGAGGGATCGCACAAGCCTGGAGCCCACTGTCAGGTTCGATGTTAGTTTCATGAAAGCTGGGAAGGAGGGAGGAGGGGGGGGGGAGGGAGCCCAAATAAGCCCCAAATAAGCCCTTATTCAGGGCTTATTTGGGCTCCCTCCCCTCCCTCCTTCCCAGCCCCCATGATGGTGAGGGTACTAGTCCGGGGACGCCACCGACGTTAGGACGGGTTCCAATTCAGCGAGATCGCGGGGTTCCCAGGAGCCCAGCCGGACGGGATGCTGCTCAGCTGGGGCTCCGCTGCGCCAATCCCGGGCTCACTACTCAACACATCCCTTCCCTCTGTGCTTTCCTGAAGTCGTCTCTACTCGTGTGGTAGCAAAAAAAAATGTGGCTCAAAATGTAAGAGCTAGGGTTACGCAGGTGTTGGTCCATGTTTCCATTTACCTAGAACCCAGGCCATTTTGGGTACACATTTGTTGAGCCACAGCCATATCAAAACATCCCTTCCCTTTGTGCTTTCCTGAAGTGGTTGAGCTGGCCAATCTCATTCCCATGTGGTAAGCCTGGGAAGCTTGAGAAAGGGCCGAAAGCCGAAAGCTGCCTTTATCGACATGGCAAACCTAAAACATGTCCACCAAAACTCCAGGAATGTCAGGGAAGCATTGCCCATCCCTTTGTGGCCTCCCTAAAAAGAAACTGGCAATGTTCGGTCAGAACCCAAATGTGGAGGAAGGTCGGTGAATTGGACATTGCGCACACACAGAACCAAGAAGCGAGTGCTTCGTATGCGGCGGAAATTCGGCATTGGTGGCAGCCAACCGGAGCGTTGCAACAAATAATTCAACAAACGTTGCTCGATTGCTTCGATTGTGGTAGTGGATGCCATGCTGGGGTTACTTGGGGGCCAGTCGATAACAGGAAAGCTGCATCAAACAGAGCGGATCTTTCTGGAGTATCGGGTCATCTGGCAATCTTCGCAAAATCTGAATCCCGAAATGTGTCTTGGCTTTCGCTCGTTTCAACCCCGAAGGTAACATTTACAACACCCAAAAAGTCTCATGGCTTTCGCTTGATTCAAAATCCCGAATCCGTGAGCTCGCCCAATAAAATCGACCGCTTCAAGGCAGGTGGCCACGTTGTGCGCATGCACATAGGCCATGCCGCTGCACACCTCCCGTGCCACGTGGAGCACATCTTGGTACCTGCGGCTTTCGGCTTTCGGCGCTGGATCAGCCTCCCCCCCCAAAAAAAAAAAACTAAAAAACTTCGGGGAACACTGGATTCCATTCTTTGCCCCATATTTGCTGTTTGCCTTTGGCTGCAAAGTGACACCATCGGAGCCACTTGGGGGAACTCTCTCTTGGTTGCTCCATGTTGTCTCCAACAATCCTTTGGTAGGGGCGGGCAGGGTGGTTAAAAGGATGGCCTTCAGTCCGTAAAAAAGCCGGGATCTGGGCGGAAAAAAGGCCGAGAGCAATCATTTCCTTGTGGCTTCCCGCAAGACAACAACTAAGTCACTAAGCGATTTGGTCTATTGACCTTTGCCAACTGAGAAACCGGGTGCCAAGCCCCCATGAAAATTGAAAACCCGTATGGATGTCGAGAATTCAGAAATGCAAGGTCAAACACTTGGCCCCAAGTGTGAAAAACAACATGTCACATCCGGACGATTCACTTTGGAGCAGCTTAAGCTTACACGTTCTCACATAGCGCCTGAGGATAACTGAAAAAATGGTTCATTCTTTGCAACCCTTGGCATGGGCTTGCACACAACTCTTTGTCTTTGCACCCTCCAAAGACAACATATGAACAGAAGTTCCGAACCACAACACCCAAACCCAAAGAACCACCTGAAAACCAAAAACTTTAAACCCCAAAAACAAGGCAAGCGGCTCTCTGGGAGCCGTGTAACTGTCAGCGACAGCATTTTGTGTGCTTTGAAGTGCGAGAAGGCAAATTCACTGGTATTTGCGGTGTTTTTGCCTCATTTGACTCAAACTTCTTGCGACATGGGCTGTGCAAAGGGGGTCCCCGAAAAGTTCGTTTTTGGATCTAATTTGTGGACCTATCAGCCGCGCGGCTCCCGCACTTTATACTCTTGCGTCTCTTGCGCGTGACTAATCCCAAAGAGCCTTGGCCAGAAACTTTTGCGGATCTGAGCTCAATGCCTTCGCATTGTGCTTTGGTAAATATGCCCAAAATCCCGCTTGTTGGAACACATAAACATAATGCGAAAATGAACGCTTGGATTACACGAGAAGAAGCTGAAATGACCTAGGCTGGAGGCTCCGTCGTGGGATGCTGGAGGAAACATACGTAGTAAATATGCCCAAAATCCCGCTTGTTGGAACACATAAGCATAATGCGAAAATGAACGCTTGGATTACACGAGAAGAAGCTGAAATGACCTAGGCTGGAGGCTCCGTCGGCTATGGTGCACATGACAGCAGAAATGGAAGCGCCGCATTCATTGGCCCCCCCCCCCACCCCCCACCCCCCACCCCAAGCACAGGTGGTCGCAACAGAGAAGCGCCGCATTCATTGGCCCCCCCCCCACCCCCCACCCCCCACCCCCCTCCCCAACCCCAAGACTCAGATTCGATGACAGTTACACGGCTCCGAGAGAGCCGGCTGCCAAAAACAACCGTTAAATCTTCGACTTATTTCCCGGGATCGCTGAACCAACGCGCGACGGGCGCCTGAAGTCGCACTTCCGGTACAGGGAGAGGAAGGAGCGCCGCTTCCTGCCCGCGCCGAAGCGGTGTACAGCTTCTTTTTTGAAAGGTCGCCTGGTTGGGATTCATCTGAAGCAACTGAACAAAAACAAGTGCATGACTTTCTCAGTTGCTTTCTGCTCCCCTGCTAAAAGTTTAACTTTGAATGGTTTAATGGAAAACCCATTGGTTGGCACAAAGTTAAACTCCTAACATCCAGGCAAAATGCACCAAAGTGTTGGTTGCGTGCACCTTGCCTTGCATCACCTCTCAAGCCTTTTGAGCCTTGACTGGCGCAGGATATCTTCCATTTGGTTAAGACCCCCGAACAAGGATAACATATTTCCAGTAGTGCTAGATTCCCTTGAAAAACAACAGGGGAGAAACAAAAAAAAAACATTAAGCAAAAGGACGATATGCTGCATTGATTTTACGTCCCAGGCGGATCAACATGCACAGTCCAGCAGGCAGTGAGTGCCATGCTGGCTGAGATTGGAAGCCTTCTCGGATATTAGCTGCCAGCCAAATGGCCATGGGTCAAAAGCCCGTACACCCAGTGAACATCCCAATCCCCACTAAAATAGACTAAAATGGGTGGTGCACCTACCCCAAAATGGTACCATTGGAGTTGACCCACAGCCAAATAGCAACAGCAACTCAGCTTCCCAATGGTAGGAAGACCGAGTCTGGAGATATGGCTGTGGGTCAAAACCGTCTTGGGATCCCATTTCGGGGCTTTCTGTGCACCACCCATTTCAGAACCTATTTTAGTGGTTGGATAAAAATGTTCACTGGGGGTACGATTTGGCCTTTGACCCATGGCCATACGTAAATGCAAGCAGTTGAGTCTGCAAGGCACTCCTGTCTGCACTGTCAATCCTCCTGCTCCTCCAACACAAAGGGACGCCACTAACATGGCACCTGTGAAACCCTAAAAAAACATATATATATATATACACATATGTATATATATATATATAAAAGGCGTTGGCACAGCAAAATGGAGCCTCTTTCCCCTGCGAACTTGCTGGGTTTCCTGTGCGAATTTGCAATTTCAGGAAGTCTGCGTTCCTTCACCTGGCATTTCCCACGGTTCTTTGAACCCCCTGGGCACTTCTTCCCCGGTTTCATGGGCACTTCTGGACTGCTCGCCTGGAAAAAGGTCCTCCAGATTTGAGAGGTTAGAACAAGGGCACCCGTGTTTCTGGAAGGTGTCTTTTAGTAGGGGAACCCTCCATTCCCCAAAAAAGGGGTGAGAGGTCGGGCACCTAGCTGGGGGACCTAGTAACTGGCCTGCTCTCAGATCCCCCGCAAAAAGTGACTAACTTTTAGTGGCTTAAATTCGGAGGCTACCACTAAACCAGCTAAAAGGATCTAAAAGGCTAAGGAACCGCATGGCTGACCGGGGTAATGTTAACCCCAGATTAATAAACCCCAGGTTGATTAGGGGGGTGTCCCCTTTTAGTGGGGATTCACCACTTTTGGAGGGAACACCCCCCTAATTATGGGAGGGGTTTATTAATCCGGGGTCAACATGACAGGAACGCCCAGTCCGCCGTCGGCCGAAATTCCGAAGGGATCACCCCTCGGCGCCCCGAGCCCCGAGCTCCTCGAGTGGAGGAGGTCGTACAAGGAGAGCCCGGGAACGAGCTCCATGACCTGAGCCATGGAAATTCAATCAGTGAGACCAGCTGAAACAGGGATCCGGATGCATGAAAAACACCTGAACATTGCCTTGCTTTGAGTTGGCGTTCGGATACTCAGATGTATGACCCTGCAGTTGGCATCCGCTTGTTCTAGATATCACTCGTCATTTCAAATATGCAGGGGCTGCAGGGGGTTGCTAAAAAGCTATTGATGCAAATGGTAAATAAAATACCTAAGAAGGTTTTTTGAGCTAACTGCTTTCACATGAAGTTGTATAATCTGTATGCATTTTTCTTGCTGATATATCCATAATATGTGATAAGCAGCAGATCAAGATCGAATAGATCTGGGTAAAGAGTAGAATCAATCTCATAAATGGAAGCACACTCCAAAAGGCACCGGAAGCTTCGCATTGGTCATAAAATAAAGGGAGACCACCATTTACAACATCGCAGACATGAATATGAAATGATTATAGTGTTCTTTTTTCCCGGAGTTGGGTTAAGAGAATCCATTTCGCTACTTGAATGTTCTCTTATTTTTTCCAAGGCTGCTTATATAAGCACATTGCTTAAGAATACCCGTGAATTTTCCCCTGTTGGTTTTCAATCAAATCGCTTTCACGACTGGACATGTGTTCCCATTTTTCCAGAGGACATATTATGAAAGGAAGGGTTGTTTGTGTTACCCTCCCAGCCACGTTGCCATGTTTCCGGGTCCCGGTTTGGGTTTAAAACGGACAATTTCTCCGATGGGTTCCATGTGGACAGGAGGGTTACTGGTTTTTGTTGCTGCGGTTTTTCGCTGACTGGTTCAAGCCCTAGGTCCTCCAGTAGAGAAGTTAGAATAAGGTACCCACTTTTTTGATGACGTCTATTTTAGTAGGGGGTTCCCTTCCAAACCAAAAAAAAAAAGTGAAGAAGGGCACGACTGGCTGGAGGACCTAAGCCGAGCTGCGATGATGTTCTCCGCGAGGTTCACCCCCAGCAGCACCGGGATGTTGGGGTGCCGCAGGCGCCGCAAAATCACCAACTCCACGTAGAAAGAGTGCGGCCTCGGGCTCGACACTTTTTCGTTCTCAGCAGGGAATGAGAAATGGAATGACCCCTCCCTTAAAACTCCAAGGATTGGGGAAGTTAATATTTTACAGACATATAGCCCATGTTACCCCCAAAAAGTTGAAAAGTTGTGTTTTTAAGAGGTAAGTTTGTTGCTGTTGACCCCTCTGCAAACAGTTTAACTTTTTGTGGGTTTAGTGGAAAACTCCTTTTTGGGCGGGGCTGGACCCTGCCTTTTCGCTCTCAGGGCAGGAGAAATGGAAGGACCCCTATTCTAGGGGTTGATTCCTATTATTTTCAACCAACCTTCTTTTCCAAAAGACCAGCTGTTGTTTCCCTGGGTGTTTGATGGCTTCCTGAAAAGAAGGATCCCTGCTGTTCTTAGCACTTAAAGGGGCAGGGTAAGTCAGGTAAGCAAATTATAGCCCACTTTCCATGGATATACGTCTCATAAGTGGGTTATCACCAAGCTTACTAACCACTTCCTAAGTACCCTGCCGCTTTAAGCAGGGAATGCGAAATGGAATGACCCCTATGAACAATCCCTTCTGGGCTCTTTTTATGGGAATTCCAAATGGTGAATTCCCAACACCTTGGGTCATCCCCTGCTGGCCAGCAAGAAAAGAGGGACATAAGAAAGGGAGGCCGCCATTTAACCGCGAGAAGAAACCGGGCGGCGCCTGGATTGCAACTTGAAAGTATTGGGCGCTCAAGAAGCACTTGAGAGGTGCGAGGTGAGTCGGTCACAGGGGTGCATCTCCGGGCGGTTTCACTCGAGACGACTCGTGGATCGATATTGCGTGCCACAAACCATGGTTGCTGTCTGCTCCCCTGCTCAAAGTTTAACTTTTCGTGGTTTAATCGCACGCTTGTTCGCTGGCCTCTACGGCCCGCTATGTGCAGACTACAAGTAGTGGTCTAATGGAAAACTCACTAGTTGGCAACAAGTTAAAGTCCTAACATCCAAGCAAAAATGCACCAAAGGAACCATCATCACCATCATATCCTTTATAATTAGCGCTCTTCGCAGACTGCATGGATAGAGATCCCAAGGTGCACTTCAAAGGGAGACCGCTTGACACCGAAGCACGTTGATGCGATTCTGGCTTCGGCATATACCTTGAAAGACCTCAGAAAACGTCCTTCCGCCAGCTCAACCTATGAGTTCGGCGAGTTCAGCTCATTTCAGCCTCGCTAGGCTTCCCCTTCAAAAGTCCTTCGTCGATTTCCGGGTACGTTTTAGCCATCTAGGTCCTCCAGTAGAGAGGATAGAATAAGGGTACCAGCTTTTTTCAGGACGTCTATTTTAGTACGGCAACCCTCCCCCAAAAAAGAAACGGTAAAAGGGCACCTGGCTGGGGGGCCTAGTTTGCAGCAAGGGAACTCGAGACTTCGGACCCCTTGCCTTCCAAGGCACACCTTCCTCGAATCCGAGATCTCCGGCTGGCCGTCACCTCCAAAAAGCGATTCAAAGATTTCATGGTTGTTGGGAAGGAGCCATACCGTCCCATTAACATGGAACCTGACCGGCGGCTCCTGGAAGACCATTTTCACCATTTTCCCCATCAGTTTCCATGTTAATTTGTGGGGAGACACATTTGACATTTTTGCTTTTTGTGGTTTAGTGGTGGAAATCCCCACTTAACTGCGAAAACTTGACTTTTTGTTCTCCCCTTCCAACGTCAACCAAGATTTGGCCCCCCCCGTTTAAGTTCAGACAACTGGATTTGGAGCCCAGTTCCATCCTAGGATCTTGTGCAAGTATGTTGCTACATGATGTTTTTTCCGGATGGATCAAACTTATTGTTTTGAAGAAAGACATGTTTTCACGAAAAAAAAAATCGAATTTCTTCCACATTGAAAAGTCCTCGCCTTCCTTAGTACATGGCATCCACCCACTCAATACCGAGCAACTAGATTGGAATGAGATGTGGAGCGCGCGAACCTGGAAGCATTCAGTGCGCACTTGCCCAGTGGCCATGGAAAAAAAAGGGCAAGGCGCACACACACTCACACACTCCTCGAGCCTCTATGCGGAGGGAAATCCATGGGAGGGGGGAAAGAAGACATGTGACCTGGCAACTGGATGTTCAGCCCCCATGGCATAACCCTCTGCCAAGTGTCTCTTCTTCTCCCGGTGCTCGACGGACTTGGCGGCAATGTACCTCTGCAAGTTGCCAGCTTTTTGCGGAGCGTCTGTTTTTCGTTGTTTTGAGGGTACCTCTTTTGGGTGGTTTTAAGGGGAAGCCCGGAGGGGAAACCAAAATCTATTTTGGGGGGTCCCCGAAAAAAAGGATATTTGGCATCCCAAAAAGCCCGGTCTCGTGCTTTCTTCATGTGGCTTTTGCGGCCAGCTTGGGGTAAACGTGACCAGGGACCCCATATGGCCGTTGTTTTAAGGCCGAAACAAAGGCCATACAGTTTTTTACGCATTTGTTTCAACAACATGTCGAAAAAACCTGGTTTCATACAGGTGATTTATGCAAATGACCGGGAAAACATGGCCATACTGGCAAATACGGGGTTTTGCTGTGTGACTGTGCTTGTATCTGAGTGTGTGCATTCGCCTGAGTAGGTTTTTTAGGACCTGTGCCAGGTTGATGAATCAATTCATCGCTGGCACCAAGACTTGCGGGCGCGAGAGGAAGGGAATGAGGGAATGACCCTGCAAAGTTGGATGGTGGCTTCCTTTGAGTGGACCCTCATTTCATTACAATTCTCATTCCCTACCCGTCGCACCAGCAAGAAGAAAAGTGAACAAAACAGACACGTTGTGCCAATACCTGGACACGTGCGCAGAATGGGCTCCCTGGTGATGGGTTTTGGTCACACATTCGCCCGCAAAAAAAGAGCCAGCCGCCACAACAGCAAGCCCGACTTGTAGCTACCAAAAACAGAAAGTAGCATGTCAACGTTCAACAAAATCAAGCTTGGCCCTCGAGCTGCCATTGGTCCCATACGCAAGGAGGCCATCATCCCGACGAAGGATGCAGCCACAGTCCGCTTTATCCAAAAGCTGAATTCTGAAATTGGAAAGGACCTTCATGATGGTACGCTCGACATAGTCCCCGTATCGGTGAGCTCGCACTAACAGTTGCAGCAGCCTGGTTTATTTCATGGGCCAGTGTGGCGCCAAACCAAAGCCTGGAACAACATCTCAAAACTCAGTCCTCGCGCCACAAATGCCTTCTGCTCAGGAAACGGATTTCAGTGAGCAAAAGCCAAGGCTGAGTTCTGATTAGAAAGCTCGGAAAAAAATACATATACAAAAAACGTAATATGCACAAAGCACGTGTGTTTCGTAAGGGGTACTCAAAGCCAAGCTTTGAGAAAACAGTTCACGGAATCAATCAATGGGCCAGAGACGGACATGGTTGGGTGCTCTGTTGTTGTGTTCCAGCGATGTTCTGTTGCGCTGCATCCTGGTCATCTTCTGCCACATCCCAGCCCGGATTCTTGTATCTGTAATGGTGCGCCGGACAAAGGATTGTACAATTGTCCAGCCGGCAGCAGGATCCAAACAAACACCCGAGAGCAACACAATAATACAGCCACATACAGAAAAAAGGAGCTTGCCAAACCTGCGCAAGCTGCATGTTCTTGGTGATCCCGCAATAGACTCGTCCGAAGCCGCCCTCTCCTTGGTCTGCAATGTTGGCCGATGGCTAACCTAATTAAGACTTTCGAAGAGGGGTTCCAAAGGAACATTTGGCAAAAATAGGTACCCAAAATGTCACACCCTGGTAAATGGACACATTGACTAAAGCCTGTCGTTTACTTGGTGGCTTCATTTTGACCCATGCCTTTTCCTTGACCTCCTCCCATCAAACCGAGCTGGTATCCAGTCGACCGAGCGGGAGCTGGGGGAGATCACCCGGTGAGCGAATTCCACCGAAAGGCGCCCGTTGGACCGTTGGACCATTGAAAGGGGGAGCGACGAAAGACAGATCTTAGCAGCTAAGCGGATTTGGATTTCAACCAAACCGCCAGAAACAAAACCGTAAAACATGTTTCCCAACAAAAACCCATGGAACAGATAGACATGGGACAAGGTTGAGACGGCAGAGCCAAAAAGTTCACCACCCAAACCCCCAAGCTAATACTAGCAGCTGATTCCACCATTTCAGCATCCCCCAGCCGCTGGATGATTCCAAATTCCAGGAGCAGCTACTCAAAACGCGCAAACCAAAAGCCGGAAGCAAAGTGCTCGGTTCAAACCTGCGGCTGCTTCACTCCCAATTCCTATATGAGAAAGGCGCCTGACATTGCCCGACATGACCATGGCATCCCCCCTACGTTCAGGGGAAGGGGGGTGGGGATCCCCGATTCCGTTTATTTAGTCTTCCCCATAAAAGGGAAAATGGAATCATAGATGGAATTCCAGAGGTCACCCCCTCCTCCGATTCCATTTTTGAGGGGGTGGGGATACCATCGCGATCAACAACACAAGCATTGTTTGACCGCCTGCCACCCACAGCAAGACTGCAATAAACACCGCTCAGGCCCTTCACCAAACACCCAGCCCGTGCTTGGCAAAGCTAGAAGGTTGGCTGCTTTATGCTGCTTTGAGCCTTAAGTGGAAACGCCTCGAGGTCTAACACGTCTTCGTGAAGCCAAACTTCGACGGGCTCATGTGCCCCCTTCAAGGCCAGTCCCCTTCCATGTAGCAACCCCCGCACCCCCGTATATACCTCCCCCCCTGGCGAAAAAAACATGCATGGCACCCCCAAAGGCAGTGGACCAGTCTATTGGGAAGACACAGGGGCTCAGGAAACAGCTAATCAGGATGGCGAATCCGAGGAAAGCGGACTCTTGGCCAAGCAAAAACAGACACTCACAAGCCACCTGGCAAGGTGAGCCACGTGCTCAAAACCCGGGGGTTGATGAAGGTTAGGGACAATCCAAACCAGAAATAGCTGCGGATATCCGCCTTCTTTATTCTTTACGTGGCTCTGGGTGGACCATTTTCATACCGGGTTTTGATTTTGACTCAGCTGTTGAATGCTTCCTCGGGTCCCATCCGCTCAATTGGACTTGTTCATGGGACTTTGTTGTGCCGACGACTTTCACAATGGACCGTCTGCGCACAATACTGCGACCGGGTCCCTGCCCTTGAGTTGCCACAGCCATGCCCATACCCAAACCCACTGCACACGGGTGGCCCACGTAGTCTTTCAAGTCGAGCTTTTCTGGCAGCTGTTGCATCTTGAAATCACGGTGGCCCGAAAAGGCTGAAGAACTCGCTACACCAACTGGGAAGCTCAGAAAGGGAGGGTTCCCTTACCAAAATAGGCTACAGAAAAAAAGGGCACCCTCATTCTAACCTCTCAAATCTGGAGGACCTAGTTATGCAGTTCTGATGCTTGGGGCCTTTGACAGCTTGGGCAGTTGAGATGCATCGGAATATGGCGATCAACGGCTGGCTCTGAGGTCTTTATAGTTGAAGTTTGACCTTCGGTTCTGCTGTCACGTGCCGTCACCCGCTGCTGGCGACACAACCGCGCAGACGCAACTCGCCTTGAACATCGCTCGCCAGCTGAAGCCCCCAATTGAAGCTTTGCCAGAGGAGAGTGGCCGCTCCAGGACCGTAAAACAGAAGCAGCTTTTTGGAGTGGAGTCACGCGTTGCCGTTTGCAACTGGAAAGGCTCGTTCAACGGGGAGTGAACAAATAGGCTTTGAGTTCACGCGTTGCTGTTTTACATGCTCAGCCATTCTTCAGAAGTGTGTGTATATTTGTCTTCCGGCAGCTTTCGTGGGACATGTTCATCGGCGGGCAGCCGATCAATCACCAAAATTACGGTCTGTCGGTCAGCCCGACTAGGTATCAGCATAGCTGTCCTCGGTTTGTTCAACAAACTGCAAAGTGGCATGTTTCTTGAGAAGTGCTTGCCCTAGCAAGGAGCCAACCCATGCGGGACACAATGCTGGTGATATTCATTTGCGTGGGTAACCCCCAGCTTGGTTAAACAAGCTTGGTTGACGTTGGAAGGGGAGCAAACATTTAAATTTTAGCAGCCAAGTGGTTGGATTCCAACCACTAAACCACAATAAGCAAAAATGTGAAAATGTTTCCCAACAACAACCATGCAAAGGGGGTGTGTCACAAAGGTGATCCTTGGGGGCCTTATTCTTGCAGCCCGGGCAGCGGGCGGGCTGAGACCCTGATCCTCCAGTTGCATGCATCTTGCGCGTGTTTAAACGGTTTTCCGGAAGGTGAGATATTCGCCTGAGCTACCCTGCCTTTTTAGTGGGGGACCTAGATACTGCATCGCAGTTGTTCAGTAACCCTGGGGAAAAAAAAGGGAACCCATTTTTGGGCTTGGACCATTTTTAGTGGGGCAGCCACCCAAAAAAAAGAAGGACAAGGACTGGAAAAAGGGCGCCACTGAACCAACCGAGGCATGGCATGGAGCACACCGAAGCCATCACCCCGAAGCCCGGACGCCCCGACTCAGCCCGACGCGGCCTCGTTGGATCTCCATCTCCTCGAAGTCTCTCCGTAGCTCCGCTTCGCTGAGACGAGGCTCTGATGCCTTGTGCAGAGCTCCTCGGCGAGAGCGAGGCCCAGGAGCTAAGAAGCCGCAGCCATAGGAGCTTCAGTCGAATCTTCCCTTCGGAGCAACCCTTGGGTATGGCTTGGCCCAATATATATATATATATATATATATTTGCAGTCCCCCAAGAAAAAGGAACATAATATCAAAAGCTGCAAAACAAATTAAACAAGGAACTTGCTAAGAACAGGGAAGTTCCATTTAGGGCCCCCACCTGGCCACGGCCACGGGCAGCCCCATGTTGGAAGTATCATCCTTGTGGGTTTCCCCAAGGGTCATCCCATGTAAAGAAAACCTTTTCATCAACCCCCATATGTTACCTTTGGTAGGGAATATGACCTATAAAGCATATGATTGCGGCCCAAAGGAAAGCAGAAAGCTGTTGCTGCTGTGCAAACATTGCTTTCCCGACCCTACACATCAGATTCCCTCCAAGTGGCTTGGAGCCCGGTGGTTTGGTGGTTGAGGAGGGGGTCTTCCCATTTACATCCATTTACCCTCTACAGGAATCCCTTTTGGCAGTGCAAAAATTGAAAATTCAGCAAGCAACCAATCAGCTGTTGCCTCGGCGTGGCTTTCTTTTTACTGCTCGAAAGGGGGTTTTCTGTGTCCCCGACATCCGACAACATACCATTTGGGTAACTAGTGTTTTGTCTTTTTGTCTTTTTGTCTTTTGGTTGAAGGCCACAAGAAAGGGGGTACCCTCAAAAAAAGGACACACCCATTTACGCCCAAACTGAGCCTTGCCTTAGTCGGACCAACCATTGAAGCACAAAAGTTACTGGCCGGCCATGAAAAAACAAGGGTCTGAGGGTTTTGGTATTCCACCCTGGGATTACACCCTTGGGAAATGACACGGTGTTTTCCGGAAATGTGCCTAAATGGGGTCAATACCCAGCGGGTAATAATACAACAACCCTGAGAAAGGGAGCAAGCGAGCCGAGCCCAAGAACCAGTCATTGCTCAGCATGTGCATGATACATAGTAAGACCCGGCCAGTTAGATAGATCGATGTGAGTTCTGGAATGAATCGGAATCACTTGTGCTAAAGTGGCAGCTCTATTGGCGTTGGGGGGTACCTCCCGAACAGCGCCCTGCAAAAAAACAAGGCCTCAAGTCAGAACCATCATGATGTTATCTGTGTCTCGTGTGCAGCATATGTTGACAAATTTGACAGTCTGAAGTGGAAACCCGTGGCCCAACAGTCTCGTGTGCAGCACATGTTGACAAATTTGACAGTCTGAAGTAAAAACCCGTGGCCCAACAAAGCCGTTGGGCTGTCCGTTTTTTGATCCCCAGCCAAAAGTGGAACTTTTAGTCGGTTCAATGGAGACCGTGATGACCATTACCCGCCAGCACCCAAACATGTATCCCACACATATCTGGACGGAATCCTGCACTACTTTGAAACCATGGAAAACCATTGTTTCTTAACGTATTCACTACGTTCGGAAGTCGAAATGGAACTCGCAACCATCCACAGTATTTATGATTTCTCTCTCCTCCGCAGAACGAGACAAACATGTGCTTTAACAAAAATGCAAAAGCTGTGCACATGCCCAGTTGAATCGTCACTCTCAAGAGATGTTCCGTCTATGAGAGAACCACTCCTTTCTGGAAGTAGGGATGAGTAAAATAAGCCGAGCAGGATGGCTCAAATTCGGGTAAAAAGAAGGCTCTTGCTGTGTGCTGCGTTGCGCCGTTGGGTGCGGGGTGCGGTATGCGCTGCGCGTTGCCTGCTTCCCGCATTCTAGGGGTACTTTCTCCATTCTTTCCAGGCATCCCAATCTTTCTAGAAAACCTCCAGAAACCCAGGTTGAAAACGGATCCAGTTTCTGCAAAGAACGCTGGTTGTAGAGAATGGAGAAGGAAAATCAACCCCTAGAAGGTCCCTCCAAAAACCTGTCCATTTGTAGCTAGAACCCCCAAAAATCGGTTGCTTTTGAGCTCCAAACAACCCCTAGAGCATTCAACTTCGTGCAGGAAACCTCGTCGGAGATCCAGCGCCAGACCTGCGGACGTGTAGCTCCTGCAAACCACTGGCCCGCGTCTTGCGTAAGCATCGGACGCACCGCGCACTCGAGCCGCAAGAGTAAAGAACCAAAAGGGCGCCGCAGCAATCGCCGCACTTGCGCAGTGCATGGCCCAAACAACAAAAATGATTGTTCGTTTGCCTCAAATATCTAGGTCCTTCAGTAGAGAAATAAGGGCACCATCTTTTTTCTGTAGTCAATTTTAGTAGGGGAAACCCTCCCAACCAAAAAAGGGGTGAGAAAGGGCACCACTGGGGGACCTAGAAGAAGGTCTTCCCAAAAAGTACATAAGGTCCGAAGCGGAACTCAAGTGAGTCGCACAGCCGAGATGCGTCGAAAAAAGTCCACATTCACCACGAGCAGCCGATGCCTGGCGCCTGAGACGGGCTCACTCTCAGGTCGCCTCAAGCAAAAAATCATCGAAATGGTGGTTTGGTGGTTTGGAAGGTGGGGGGTAGCTTCCCGCACCCAAACCACCAAACCACCAACTAAGGTCTAGCTGATACAGTGTAGATATCGCCGCGGTCACAGCGGCATGTCTCGTTGCCAAAATGGGTCAATACACCCGCAACCAGACCAATCAAAATGCGGTGGATTCACGGGGAAATTGATCACCTCAACAATTCCACGGAAAAAGACAACTGGCAAAACTGATACGAACACGAAGCCGAGAGTACATCCGAAGGAACTCAAACCTCTGCAGTGTCGGCGCGGAGACGATTCGCGTTTCTATGTCGACGTTGCGTCCTTTTACAAACCAAGGGGAAGAACGGGACATGCTATAGTTTAAACTGGCACCCCCCTCCCTGAAATAAAGAAACACTGTCCCGCGACTTCAAGCATGATCGATCCCTTTTCGGTGTTGTCTACTTCGCCTGCCCCCCGCCAACCCGGATGAAACAATAAGCTGGAAATAGTCATTTCCAACAAAGCGCCACCCCCACACCCCAGGATTGCTCAGTATAGTGCTTTCGTAACCTCTTGCTTTTCCTTTGGGTCACTTACCCTCCCAATTCACATGGCACCATTCGACGGTCTGGGGGTCCTGGAAGACCGTTTTAAAGGGGCCACTCCCCTGTCAGGTTCCATGTCAATTGGTGGGCGCCAAGCCCGGGCCAGGTTTTTCGCCCAGCTGCTGCACCCAGGGAAGTGAGGCAGGCTGCCGCAACTCTTCTGGCGCAGGGGCTTGGGGATGGTCAACCCACTTCGGTCGCATCCGGTCAACAGGACTTCTACACTCTGGCAGGTAACCCCCCCACTTACGAACATGAAATGACTGAAATGGTTCCCCCAATCTCACAGGCTCCCGTAGCTACGAAGAACCTGTCTTATCTGAAAAGTTGCATGAAATCAAGAAGAAGTAGCCAGGGCTAGGACCGGGGGGGGGGGCTCCCACCAACACAGTGGACAGCTGGAACACATGCGCGCGTTTGCATCTTCCAAAGTAAAAACTATAAACGCATGTGGGAGAAACATGACTTCGCGCTGGTGTTCCTAGTTGCCGGTTTGAACTTGCATCCTCGCTCTCAATTTGACTTGGAACAGGCTTCGTCACCAGGAATCGGAGCGGCTTTTGGGGAGGTGACTGTGCTGGCGCGGAAGCGCCCAAACTGCCTGGCCCAAGAATATCTTTCTCAACCCCACCCGAAGAGTCACAAAAGGATCCTTCCGAACATGTCCTTCCTTTCAGATTCCTCCAGGCAAACAAATCGCAAAAGGACCTGGAACCTTGAAAAAGGCTTCCAAAACTTCACAGCCCTGGGTAGCAAGGAACCTGGTCTTTTTTGCAGCGAAGCGAACCAACAATGAAGCGAAATTATAAATGAAATGAACCAAAAAATGAAGCGAACCAAAATGTAGCAACGAACCGAATCATAATTACCACAAATGAAGCGAAGCAACAAACAACTTGACCCAAGCGAAGCGAAAGTGGCGCCTTGTGACACCTTGGCGCCCGAGCTTCGCCCGCGCATGCCAATGTGGCTTGAAATAAAAGCCCTGGACAACCCTTATATCCTTATGCCCTAGTATCGGTTTACAACGGTGTTGCCCTGCAACACAATTCAGGGAAGGGCCACTTGCATAACGAAAAGGCGTGGGTTGTTGTTTTTTCAGCCCGTTTCTTTTTCTTCGCGTGAGCTGCTCGCCCGCGCCTTGGATTCCTCCGGAAAGAGCTCCTGCACCAGGCCCCTAGCATCAGTCGACGCCTCGGGAGGTGAGAAGCACGGGGTCTGCTGGAGGCAAGCACTTGGTTGACGTTGGGTTTTGGGGAGCAACAAATTATTTTTTAGCAGTTCAGTGGGGATTTCAACCACTGAGCCACAATAAGCAAGAATGTAAAACGTTTACCAGCAACAACCATGAATATGGGTCCTCCTTTTTCTGGGGGGATCCCCCCCCCAACCTACTGGGAGTACCCAGACAAGATTCATACCCTCCCACCAAGTAACATTGACACTGATAAGGACATGGTCCCTTTAAAAGGACAATTGGTTTCCAGGTGCCGCCGGTCAGGTTCCATGTTAAGTGAGTGGGTATGGCTCCTTCTGTTTGTTTAGGGTAACACCGTTGTTTCCCGTGAATTTCAATGGGACGCCCAAAGGAAAACCCACCATTTTTGGGGTCTCCGAAGAAAAGAACTATTTCCCCTTGCGTCAACACACAAGGAACAAACTCACTGTCAAATTGGCCACCGAAAGGTGATGCCTAAACTCAACGGGGGAGATATGAGGAGCCCAACGCTTGAAGCGCCCAAGGCACGATTTTTTCTAGACCAGTCATGACTCGCCCCCTTCGGAACCAAGTCATCCGCTCGATTTGCCCAAAGCTCAGGGGGCTTTGGGGCCTCCATTGCATCCGTCCAAACTGCAAACCGGGAGGGCGCCACTGGATGCATTCCCTTGCTGGTACCAAGCGATCCCAAAGGTAAGTCCCACCCAAAGGTAGCGCCAGGCTGGGTTGCTGCTTTCCGACCCTGCGAGAGTTGTCCACTTTTGTGGCAACTTGGAAAATCCCACCTGCTGCCCGACAAGTTACAGTCCAAAGATCCAACCAACCATTTGCAAATGTTAGTATTCCAAAAGCTGAACTTAGGGAACCCCGACGTAAAGGACCTTTCTCATCTCATTATACCCCCCAATCGTTGACCGCGCGTCATCAAATAGGCCAAAAGCCCAGGTCGTTGCGTTGTCAATCCGTCCCAAAAGCGGATGGAACCCCCAATTTGAGACAAACCCAGTTCCCGAATCCTCCAGTTGCTTAAGACTCCTTCGCAAAAACTACAAATACCTAGAAATATTTCAAGTGACACATCCCCTCTAAAACCATCCTCCAGTAGAGAGGTTCGAATAAGGGAACCCTTTTTCTGCAATCTGTTTTAGTAGGGGGAACCCTCCCCCAAAAACGGGGTGAGAGGTGAGAAAGGGCACTACTGGGGGACCTAGTTCCAGTAGTGACACATCCCCTCCAAAACCGACAGAGGGAAAAGTTCACAATTGCCTGGCGGAGGCGCTAGTTCCAGGAGCCCGTTCCCGTGGATCCTCTGTATCTCAATGCGGCACAGCATGGCCAGACCTGGGCGCCAGTCGGAACCTGTGCCCAACACGCAAGGAACACTCACCGATTTGTGTTTTGCTCTTTTGGTGTCCCTTCAAAACGGAGTTTCCGGAAGTGTCTGCGTTTGAGAAACCTGCGCAGCCCACTTGGATGGGGACTGCAACTAGGTCCTCCAGTAGAGAGGTTAGAATAAGGGTACCCTTTTTTCAAGTCTATTGTAGTGGGGGAACCCTCCCAACCAAAAAAGGGGTGAGAAAGGGCACTACTCGGGGACCTGGCAAGTTGCTGTGCGTTCCCATGACTTCCATTTGCTTGAGCCCCCTGAAAAAAATCTAACTATGTCCAAGACTGATAGATTCCCTTTAAAACCAACAGGGCAAACAAAAAAACACTTAAGAACATGGAAGATGAAGCGCCTTGTATCCGCCAACCCTCCGACGGCTACGAGCTGAGGCCGCTGCCCATACCCATGCACGCACACAGGTGCTGCACCTCACCTCGCAATCAAGCCCTGCTGGGGAAAAAGGGAGGGCCCGTGGTTCCAGTGAACATGCCAATCCCCACGAAAATAGGTGACTAAACTGTCAGTGGGTTAAATTCGGAAATGCTAGCACTAAACACTAAAATGCTAAAAGGCTAAGGGGATGGGGGTCAAAACCCAAATCGTACCCCCAGTGAAGATCCCAATCCCCAGTAAAATAGGTTCTAACATGGGCGGTGCACGTTTCCCAAAATGGGATCCCGTTGGTTTTGAACCAGGGCCATTTGCTGGCCCAAAACTCAGACCTCAACATATACCCATGGGTTGCCACAGCTGTTCCGTCACCGGCCAGCACGGTGCAACAAACAAACCTAAAGAAAAAGGCGGTCAGGGGGGGCAACGTAATCCCTGACAGTGAGGGATCACACTTCGGGTTTGTCTAGCAAGGCCTCAAAAGACACATCCAGGTGTGCACAATCGCGGCACATTCGAATCACAGCGCAAACCGGTGGCAAAAAGTCTTAAACAGCCAAAGGCTGCTGCCAAAGAATGCAGGCAAGCGGCTAATGGACCATCGTGGCATCGACGTCACTCTGGACATCTTGATCTTTCGAATTCGCTCGTTTAAGCGTCGCTCTTCCTCAGGGATGGCCAGATCGCGCAGGGACCAACCTTTCACTATCAGTATAAACGACATGACTTGGATGAATGTAAATGACAATTGATCCAAACAAACGTAAATATGTCCTATACCTGCATGTTTTTGGTTTTAGAGGGAAGCCAGAAAGGAAATCCACCATTTGAGGGGAATGATTTTTCTACCCAGCCCCCATTTGAGAGGGTCCACCCCCCCAAAAAAAACACAAACGCAAGAACAGGTGTCCTCGAGGGCGCTCTCCTCCTCGGTCTGTGCCGCAGTTTGTGCCGCGGTTGGTGCCGCGGTTGGTGCCGCCTCCGGGGCATCGTTTGCATGCATGGTAGTGTTTGCTTTCTTCCCAGGCAAAAACGGTTCGTGCCTGGAGTGTACCTCTTTGTGGAGCGGGGGGCTATCAGTTGTTCTCTTGCCAAACATGAGCGAAAACGATGCGCTTCGTATATAATCCACCACGCATGCTGCACCCCAGCTTGCTTTGAGCGGTCAATTGTCGGATTCTTGACGCATGGATGTCTGCTGATCCTGTTGTTTGATGGTGACTCCACTTGCTTTCCGACTTGTTGCAGTCGCCAGGGGCTGTCCAAGCCATGAATTGCGCAAGCCTGTTCAGGGGAAAAGGACACAACAGCCAACCCAATCAAGTGGTGAGATAGAGCTGACCTCATCCATTTCTCCCAAAGCCTCAAATCCCCTCTAGGTCCTCAAGTAGAGAGGTTAGAATATGGGTACCTTTTTTTTTCTGTACTCTATTTTAGTAGGGGAACACTCCCCCAAAAAAGAGTAAAAGGGCACTACTGAAAAACCTAGCCCTTAACCTGCCTCCGGGTTGAACAATCCAGAGGCAAGAAAAAGGGGCACGCGGTCGAGCAGGTATGACAGGCCGTCTTTGACGTACCACTCCTCCTTGCAAGCCGACCAGAATTTCCACACTGGAAGCTCAAGCTCAAAACGCAATTGGAGAGCTGCTTCTTGCTAGCAGGAAGGAGGATGGGAGACAATGATCTCAAACTCAGTTGTGTCCGTAACAGAAAGGCCCGATGCGAATGCGAAAAAGCGCCATCATGAATCGCACCGCCTTCCAACTCCCCCCCCAAGGATGCAAAGAGAAAACGCCGGTTGATTCGGCACATAAGCATCTATCTGCTGGGCACGGACCAAACTGCCTGGCAAAACGAGCTCGAACATGAGTGCACTCTTTTAGGGATCCCAGTCCTGGACAAGCCTCGGCTGCACGGTGACGTCCAAAATTTACCGCCCACGCCAAGCTGGGGGAATGGCGGGACAAAAAAGGATGCCTTTGGCACGTCTCCAAAATTAGGTAGCTTCACATTTTTTGCGTGGGCCAACGCAAAGCGCTTAACGTTTCTTGCAGGCCGATACTGAAAATGAACAGAACCAAAAGCCAACAGAATCAATCAACTTGCCAAGATCAGTGAAGGTAGGTAGCTAACTGCAAAGTATCTACCAGGTAAGGGTGACACAATCATGCAGGCGGGCTTTATGTGACCCGTCCGGATAGGTGCCAAGGCGCATGCCGCAATTGGTGGCGCTGACCCCCTTTTTGCGGAAGCCTCGCCTCAGGTCGCGACGGAATGCAAGCCAAACCTCCATGCTTAAGTCCCCTGAACCAAAAAAAACAGTAGTGATAGAGTCCCTTTAAAACCAACATGTAAAAAATATTCTTAACCAAATGGAAGCCAACAGTGTTGAGCAGTACCAAAGCCCTCAGAGCTCTTGCTCTCTGCGGATGCCGCGAACGGATCTATACGCATTGCCCATGCCAACCACCTGCCACTTGGGAACTAAAACAAAATCCTCCAGTAGAGAGGTTAGAATAAGGGTACCAACTTGTTCTGTAGTCTACTTTAGTAGGGGAACCCTCCCAACCAAAAAAGGGGTGAGAAAGGGCACCTAGCTGGGGAAATTGGAAAAGGAAGCGCAGCCGCTGACATGTGTTCAGGCTGGCGCTTCACAAAGAAGGGAACAGTTGCCAGCATGTCGACCGTGCAGTCTTGATATAACATGACCCTCGGCCTTCACGCTCCTTCACGTTGTACACTGACGGCCTCTCGTACATGCGCATGCACGAAAGAAAGTGGACAAAACTTCCGGGACGCCTGGAAGCCTCCCCCAACAACTGCTTCTTCCCATGTCCATCTCAAGTCCCAAAAGCAGTGGTTCCCGGATGCTGGTAGAATGTAAAACGGCAACCACAAGTGCTTGACTGAGTAGTCACGGAGCTTGACTATAACCAACACTTTCAACACTGCCGTGCTTGCTGCCAGCAAAGGCCCAAAAACAGCACCGAATACAGACCAAACATTCCCAATCAAGTCATTCAACACATTGGATCTGAATATCACGTGGATACTGAAACCCCCCGCCCGTGCTTGAAGTAACCTTTTGTGGGTCCCATTCGGGAATCCCAGCTGTTTCAAGCTAAAGGTTGAAGTCCACAGATCCGTTACCAAATAGCAATTTTGTTTTTTTACCGAGGTCCTCCAGATTTGAGAGGTTAGAATAAGGGTACCAAGTTTTTTGTTTTTCTGTAGCCTATTTTAGTAGGGGAACCATGCCCCAAAAAAGACCGTAAAAGGGCACCTAGCTGGGGGACCTAGTAACATTTAAGACATTAGACTCGGTTTTCAGCTTAGGATGGGAGCTTGGCCGAATCCCTGGAGGTAAACCCGGTCCGGTTGACATCCGGGCTGCAAGAAAACTCCAGAAAAGCGCTCTGCCACGATGAAGTTCTCGCGATAATTGCTCCGCAGCTCCTCAGGAACCAATGGGCAAACTGCAACCACTGGACGTGGATGGCAACCAAAAAGGGTCCAAACGTTAAACCATAGATTGCCTTTTTGGGAAAAATAGATGGCACTGGTAAATGGAACAAACCCCATCTAAACCAGTGCCATCTATTTTTAACCAGGCTCACCCAAAAAGGCCACCTTTGGTCCAAACTCTTGATGCGCCACTAAAATGGCGGAGCTCGGCACCTCAGCACGTGAGGGACCCTCTGCAATAAAAAATAATTAGGATACCAGGAAGTGCTCCGTGCAACAGGACATGTGGATGGAGGAATTCCTGCTCCACTTTGAAACCATGGGAAACCATCGCTTGTTGGTTGGTATGGCGAATCAAATCATTCCAATGTTGCTTCTGTGGTGCAAGATTTCGCAACCATCCACAGCATGAATCGTTGACCCTGAGAAAAGGCAGTCACGTAACATCCTTCCAATCATCTGCAATGTTTCTGAGGTCTCCCGGCGCGAGTCCTTTGGGATCCGCCTTCGAGGGGATTTGTTTGACTTCAGGCAAGGAGGCCGGCGGGAAATGATGCAAGAAACCGTTGGTTTTCGTGGGGTAGGTGGCCAGTTTCACTTGTGGAACTCATCCTGTAGCTGGTTCTGTGAAAGAGTCAAGAGATTAACCTGTAATGGAACGGCCCGGACGACGGAAAAGAATCGTGAGAGCTGAGAAAAAGCCAGGAAGTAGCTCCATTCCTGGAATGGAGCACCAGCACATGGTTTCATATAAATCACCCTCAGAAACAGAAACATACCGTTCCAGCCCCCAAAACAAAACAACACGGCCAGTTTGGCATTCAAACCAGAAAGCCCAAAATGCCCGCAGCTGCAATCAACATGAGAAACAAGTCCGCGGTGCCTGAGGCTCCAAGATCAGAACGCCCAAGCTGCCATCACCAATCTGATTTCAGGATCCTCAAGTGATTGACCTTCCCCCTATCGCGAACTATACGTCGCCGACCTAAGATTAGATAATATATAAAAAAAAAAAAAAAACGAAAAAAATATGAAAAAAATGAGGTTGCCAACTCCCCCGGCTTGGTGACTTCAGTCTTAGCACCTCGAGCGCATCGGCTCGAGGCCTTTGGAAGGAGAGCCCCGGGCCCCGAGCCCCGCTTCGAAGCTTCGACCCCCGGAAGCCGTGGGTTTGGGGCGGTGCCGCTTCACCGGGCCGAGGCATGGAAAAAAAGAGGGGAATGATACGGAAAAAGAGGGGCATATGGGGGGATTCCAACTCGCCAGAACCCCATCAACTAAGTCAAGGTGCATCAAGGTGCATCCCTGGTTCCCCCCTGTATCCCTGCTAGTTGGTTTCCCTGAGAAGCACCCGATCCGTCCATCGCACCCCCAACTCTCACGCAGGCGATCTGGGCTGCCGGCGTTTTCAAGCCTTCGATCTCTTTCTGGCGCCAGGCAACGGGAGCGTCAAGCAGCAAAGCTCTCCAATCTCAAGCGTGTCACACTGGAGACCCTCCCACCAACACGGACGTGCAAAAAGGCCGACTAACCAAAAGAAAAGTCGTCTTTCTGCAGGAGTCAGTGCACTTCCATGTAAGCTGGGCGGGTACTGCCCTAAGTCCCTCAAGCTGTTGGAATGTCAAGATCCCTTCGGCTAAAACAGCAGCGGAGACCTCGAAACTTCCTTTGATCAAGATAAATGCTCGGCAAAAGGCTGTTTTTGAGGCATTGTGCAGGCCTCCCTGGTTCTAGGGAAACTTGCTCAGGCCCATTTTTGGGGCACAAGATGCTCCACTTTCGCAAGCCTTCCATCAAAGGTCTAGCGATGCCTTGGGGCTCGCGGCCGAGATGCCGAGATGCCGTGCCTCTAAAGTCGTTGCATTTCGCCCCTGGGAGAAACGACCCAACATGCTCTGAAACAATTATGTTTGCTGCGCACACCTTAACATAGGGGGGCAACCATTAAGCTCGCATGCCCAACGCCAGCGGGTGTGCGTGGAACAGCTCAACATTGCGTTTGGGCAATCAGGTCCTTTGGGGCAACCCCTGCATCGTGGTGGACAAATAGCGGACCTCACTCAACCGAGCGTGGGTCATTCGGGAAGCTGCCCCGCGAAGTTCCTTTTTCTTCTCCCCGGAGGCGCATCGGACTACGTCTTGGTTGACGTTGGGCTTGGGGAGCAAACATGACTCTCAATCTTAGCAGTTAAAATGGATTTCGATTTCAACCACTAAGCCGCCATAAGCAAAAATACACAAAAAACCCATGTTTCCCAACCAATGAAGTACCAACGCATCTCAAGACAAGATGGAGAATCCCACTCCGAATCCCACCTCTCGGGGTAAAAATGGTCGGAAATCCCAGCACCATGCTTCAAGACTTCAGGCGGAGATCCGCAGCTGTTGCTGACTGGGATTGTCATTTCCTAAGCTTCACTGACCCGGGTTTTGAGCACGTGACTCACCTGTTAAGCCCAGGGACAACCAGGTGTCTTACCCGGGCTTTCGGTCGCGGCCCAAAAGCCGCCAAAAGCCGCGAGGTCCCGCGGTCCCGCGGTCCCGCCTGAGAGCTGCAAGCACGGAGCTCGCTGGGTATTCGCGAGGGTCAAGATGCCCAGGCCATGGCGAAGGTCGTGACACCACTCCCCTGGCGAGGGAGGCGAGAACGTCTCAGATGGCTCTGGTAGATGATGAAACCACCAGGTAAACCAGGAATCGCCATCTATTTTTCGAGCAAGACAACCAAAAGGACGCCTATGAACATGGGGGCTGGGAGGGAGGCGGGGGGGGAGGGAGCCCAAATAAGGTAAGGGTTGATTTGGGCTCCCTCCCTCCCGGAAATGAACCTATTTAGAAAACAATTTCTTTCATCCTCCGAAGCATGAGAGGCTTGAAGTAGGAAAGTGCTTGTCCAAGCTGCCCGCTAGCCCGAATCCTGCAAGAGACGCTCTCACTTGAAAGACAAAACGAGTCATAAGCCAGTTAAAACCCAGTTGCCCAGCGACGGTGCGACAAGGAAACCCGGTCTGAAGTTGGACACCCTCCTTTTTCTGGCAAAAAAAAACAAAACACAAGGGCACAACGTCCGCCTACCACTCTTCGCAAGAGAGAACGGTTCGACTAACCAAGTAGCGATTGAAGGCTCAAACCAGCTTTCCCTTACTTTTCTGTCCATTGTCTGATCCCCGTTCCATTTTTTGTAGGTTAAATGGAACACCTCCACTAAACCTAAGGGGGCGGCTGGGACTGCCAACATTTGTCCATGACTCTGAGGCTCTACAAATTCTCGAGTAACTGCTCGTCAACGGTCAGCACGCAGCGCCAGGCCTTCATAACGCTCACCCTGTGACGTGATGTCGACCTCGGGTGACTTGTTGGAACCCGCGCTCGCTTCTGAAATTCAAAAATGACGACCCTTGCCTGCCCCCCCCAACCCAAATCAGCAGCACAAACATTGATGCCATGGTACCAAAAACAAACAACGACTACGACAACCGGAACAAGCAAGAAAACGCGCCTGCCGGAAAGTGCCAAGTGCTGTTCAATGAAAGCACCAACGATAGGACGGCGATCCCTTGACCCTCCCGTGTGCCGGGAGCCAAGTTGAAGCTACGCGCCCCACTCGCCATCTTCACAACTCGCTGCGTACATCATCAGCAACCTGCATTTCATCGTACGCCAACTGGCCGACTGGCTTTGAGTCAACTCTTCCGGACTCCACCTTCAAACACAGGGTTCCTCGAAGACTTCAAAACTTGCCGCGGACTTCCGCGAGGAGTTTCCGCGAAGAATTCCGCGTACCCATTGTTACAGGCAGACAGACCCTTAGTCGAAGCCCAAGTTCAACCCCCGCGTCTTTTCGCGGCAAAGTCAGGGAATCCTAGGTGGCCTTTTCGAAAAATAGATGGTGCTGGTACTGTAAATGGAACAAACCCCATCACGTGAGAAGGACACCTCTGCAGGGAATTCCCAGGCGAAGCTGAGGGGGGGCGAACCCCCAGCCACCGTTGTGACCGGAAGCCTCCAGAGCAGGAACCCAGGTTCAGCAAATTACGAAGCTGCACAAACCCGCCCGCTGGACCATAGCCTAAACCCAGTCGATAGCAACCAGCGGGGCAAAGCCTAAACCAACCGAAAGCTCAACACAAATTCAAGCCAAACCAAGTTTGTTTAAACACACATATCACTGAGAGGCATCGGACAGAAACAAGTTTTTCAACTGGGCTGTCCGTTTTCTGATCCCCTGCAAACAGTTTAACTGGGCGAAATGGGCGATTGAATTTTGGAGAAACTAACGAACTCTATGTTGTGGGGAACCAATCTGGGTGGGAAAGCTAACAAAAACTTCCTGAATCCATTTGTTCCCCTCTAGCCCAACCACTAAACCCAGAAAACTGCTGGGACCCGCCAAAATTTCCCGCATCCTGAGCGCCCGGACTCCCCAGCCATCGCGGACTTTTTGACCCTGAAGCACATGCGACCGAGCGAGCGACGTGTCTAACACACCTGGCCTGGGCTGGCCGTTGTCTGGGCTGCCCGTTTTCTGATTTTCTGCTACAAGCGAATCACAAGTCACCTTTTCGTGGGCCAACTTTGGACATCCAGCCACTCAACACCCACACAACGGCAAGCCTCAGGGGATGGCCGGGAAGCACCGAGCTTTAACACAAAACCCTCCATGGGCTTGGGGGTCCACCAGGGAACCCAAGTCCAAGTGCTCCGCGTTCAAAAGGACTGTCCTTCAAGTGTCTTGCACTTCAGTGTTTGGTGTGGTGGGATCGGACTTGGGTAGGTGCGCAGGGCCGGCAAAAAGAAGGAACCCTGCACCATTCAGTTCTATACACGCTCTGTGCGCTTTCGATGCGGTTGCAAGCGGCAAGCGAGGACGGATAGGATATAATTCATGTTCAAGTGGCTGCAAGGCTACAAATTGCCAGTCTCATCTCTGGAGCTAGGGACATTCTTTCACATCGTCGTGACACAGTTGTCTCGAACCCGTTCGAATTCCATCTGAGAGTGGATACCCATTCCTATCAACCCCACGGAAAAAGACATGCTAAGCAGTTGCTGGCCCTGGCACAATTCGGTTTGCTGCATCTGTTGGCTGTCAAAACAAAAAGAGAACAACACGCCGCCTTCTTGTTCAGGATGTACTCGCCGACGTAGATGTCCCCGTCGGCATAGTAGATCTCGCCGTATTGCCGCTTCTGGCGCCACACCATTCGGCGAGGCTTCCTGTGGGGCATGCCGGGCATGGCCCCAGAAGAGAAGAGTTACAACCCGCCGCTCTCGAGCCGAGAGCTGAGATTCCAAGGCAAGTGGCCAGTTGCGCATATGGAAACCAATGACTCCGCTGAAAGAGTGGCTACCTTTTTTCCCACAAGGCATTCATGTGCTGGACTGGGCTGTTTTTGGACCCCCTGAGAGTTTCAATCTTCGGCTTCATGAAAACCTAAAAGCCCAAAGACCATGAACACCAAACCGAGGGAACCGGATGGCAGGCGGCGCGTTGCGCGCCCCCAGCCGTGCGCGGGGAAGCGGTTTTTGTTTTTTTCCGGCTGCTCTCCGCCACGGACCTGGCACAAGGGCTGTCAAGGCTGCCCCCTTTTCGCGTAGATCAACACAGGGCTCCGTATACCTTAGCCAGATCCTCCAGTAGAGAGGTTAGAACAAGGGGATCCATGTGTTTTGGTTGTCTATTTTAGTAGGGGAACCCTCCCAACCAAAAAAGGGGTGAGAAAGGGCACCTAGCTGGACCTAGCAGGGCTCCCCATATTTCACCTTAACACAACACCCCCACCAAGAGATACTCACCTTTGAGCCGAGAAGGTGATGTTTCAAACCACCAAAGCGGGACCTAACTTGGGACCCCTGCAACATGGGCATGGAACATGGAACTCAACAGCGGATTTTGGAGCAGAGCCTCCTGCAGGACACGCTCACGGATTCAATGATTCCATGTTCATTTGCAGGGGAATCGGGACATGTCGGAAAACCAAAAGGACCGGTCTGGGAGACACAGACTCCAACCTTCGTCATGCCATGCGGGACGAGGCTTTCTTGTGCGAACGCGAACAAGTCGCTGAACCTCTGGCGCAGTTTTCTCTTTCATTGATTCATCGAAAAGGCTGACCTCGGGACAAGTTAGATCCCGAGTGAAGGCCCATCAATCTGCAGAAATGGCCCAAAGTCACAAAGCGCATTTGGTGGATCTGGCAAAATATCTTCCATGATTTTCTTCCATTTGCTTAAGCCCTCTGGAAGAACATGATGAAGTAGATTCCCTTTAAGACCAACAAACAGGGCAACATAAGACACATATTCAATTCAGCAAATGGAGGTCTTCCCGCCGCTCTTGGCCTGTTGCTGCAGACCAAGGGGCCCTATTCGCTCGATCTTGCGCTTCGGCAGGATCGAGGCTTCGAGGGGCAAGGGGCCGCGCTATGAAAACGGAACTCAACCCAGGCCAGCGACCCGGACTTTCTCTAAAGAGGGTCCAGCCGACTGGTTCCACTGTTCCGGGGGGGGGGGGGGCCGATGATTCTGCCTGTTGGGGGGTTGATCGAAGTCAGAAGCTGCGCTTGCTGCCCTTTAACCTGGCACTTATGGAGGATGACTTTGGTGTGGAACTAGTGGGGCCAGCAATGTTTTCATGGGGCAAATAAATCAAAAAGTGGGAGAAGCAAGTCATATGGCGTGGAACCCACTGCGCTGGGTTGAGGCACTAGCAGATCCAAGTGATTGTACAAGCTCCGGCTGGTGGTTGCTCTTCTGGGCCTGTCTGGCAGAATGAGGTCGCTCACCACCGGCTATGACAGACTTGAGACTTAAAAACGAAAATACCGCTCGCAAGGTTGCAAGTACCCTCCCACCCACTAACATTCAGGCGTCTT